GAGACTCATGTTTATATCTTTCTTTTAATTTCATTGTATCTCAGTACTTTGCAGCTACCTGCCATATATATCATGTAACTATACATTCATTATTTGAACTGATTAGTAGTGTCCCTATTATTCTTCTTTGAAATGTGCCTAAAACATAATGCATCTTCAGTCAACATATGCTGAGTAGATCCCTTGTCATCTATGTGTCATCTTTCTGCTCTTTATTAGATATGGAATTGCTTGTTTTCCCCTTAATTGTATCTGAAAACTGCTTTAATAACCATCTTAATTAGAAGATAGTCTTTTAAATCACAGCGTAAGGAATTCTAAAGTCTCTGGCAAAAACCTTGCTTAGCTATTCCTTTAACATGTTGCAGTTGGGTTCCATGATGTAACTCAGCGAATCATTGGCAGATCTTGTGTAAATGAAGTGCTGAGTGGAAACCGTGCTAAGCCCTTCTGCAATGGTTATCTGGTCTGTCTTATTCAGCTCTCTGTCTTCTTGAATGATGAGATACCCTGGGCTGTGAAGATCAAGGTAAACTGCCTGATTTGACAGCTCCTCCATGGGAAGTCTCCATTTTTGCCTCCCCAGCAGTGCTGCTTAGGATGCAGCTGTCCCTCCATCACCACTCCCAGGCCCACCCAGCTCTCTTCTGGCACTGAAGACAGCAGCAGTGAGTGGCTGCTCTGCCCCCCCCCTTCACTTCAGATAAGCATGGCTTGGAAATGCTATCTTTAGAGGTGATGAGTTTTTGTTTGGATAGGATGATGACTAGTATAAAGCCCACACACACTAACGAGCCTCCAAGTGCAAAATAATTATTGAACACAATTTGAGAGAAAAGTGGAAAATCGTGAGGGAAAAAATGTTCACAAAGCCTTAGCCCCAGTTTTTGCTGCTAATGGATCTGCCTGTTTTGCTGCCAGGTGACACAGGCAGTGGTCATACTCCTATTCTGGTCAGCTTGTTTTACATTTTAGTCTTTAGTAAATATTTTTGGTTTGGCCAGAAGAGATGCTATACATCATCTTCCAGTGAACAACCAAGGACAGATTTATACTTTGTTTACACCCTGGTTTGTCTTGTGGGGTCACTGAAGGTCTCTTTATGTCCCTTCATGTGCAGCAATATAAAATGTATAAAAAGCAACATTTTTCTACCAGAATGGATAGATGTGTTCTGACTCTATGGTGTACACATGTTAATATACTATGTTATATCCCATATGATCTTGACAAACTAAGTTGCAAGGACCACCTCATTCTGGGCTGCAGATTAGCTCCCCTTATACTTAAATGAGTACTTTTAATTAATGGTCTTCTTGTTGTAAAAATGAGTATAACCTGTTTCCCATAAGCTCACGCATTTGAATGCTTGGTCCCCAGATGGCGACACCTTTTTAGAGCATTGTGGAACTTTTAGGACGTGAAGCCTTTAGAGTAAATTGATTGCTGGAGGTGGATCTTGATGTTTCAGAGCCAAGCTCCACTTCTTGCTGTCTCTGCTTCCTGACTACTGATGCAGAGTGCCCAGCTGCCTCATACCCCTGCCACCATGCCTTCCCTGTCAAAATGGACTGTCTTCCTTGCTAAAAGTCAAAATAACCCTTCCCTTTAAGCAAATTCTTATCTGGTATTTGTTCACAATATGAGAAAAGTAACTAACACGGAAATTTGTTGTGGAGAAATAAGGCTGTCACTGTGACAAGCTTGACCTCTTGGCCTTTGGAACAGGTTTGTAGGAGGAATATGTAAGGGTTTAGAATGGGGCTAGAAAAATATCTAATACTGCAAACAAAGCTTTACTGTCTGTCCTGGTGGAAGTGCAGAAGACTGGAATGCTGAAAGAAATGTAGACAGTGGAGGGCCAACTCCTGAGGGTTCAGAGGGGAGCAAGGGTTCTATATGGAGCTGGGCTAGAGACAATTTGCTTCATATTACAGCAAAGAATCGATTTTATTCAGTCTGCCTATGTCCTGAGAACTTCAGAGCACATAAAATTGAAAATAATAGAATAAATTGTTTGGGAGAAAATGTCAAAATTGCCCAGGTATTCATACTGTACTGTGGTTATTACTTATTGCTCTTATCTAGGTCTTCAGTAGAGAGCAACAAATGGAACAGAAAGGTATACAAAATGCCCAGTTTGTGGGGAAAACTGTAATCTTAAAATTATATGCAAGTTTGTTGCTGATTAGGCAAGTATAGTCATCAGAAGGTAGTTCCATTACAGAGAAATCTTGTGCTCTGCACAGAGACAAGAGAAAAGATGACGAAAATGAGACTCCACCTACTCTAGGTTCCACCTTGTGAAAACAGAAATTCATTTTTAAGTCTAAACTAAGAATACTGCTGAAGGCATTGCGTCTTCAGAAACAACTGTCTATGTAAGTGTTTTCACAAGGTCAGAATACAAAAGAAGATACCGCTGACTTTGAGGAGGGTAAGGCTTCATCTTGAGCTGGTTGAAGGACTATGTGGTAGCAGTTGTATAGGCATGGAAGATGCAAGAATAATAAAATCAGTGAGACTTGTGCCATGGTTTCTGAAGGTCACTGAGCCTAGGAAATGTACCACAGGGTTGGATTCCCAGCAAGAAGATCCCAGAGAAGGGAATATATGAGGCTGTGAAGTCGAAGGTTATGTTACAAAGAACACCTCAAGTAGGAGATGCCAGAACCACAGGATTTCTACAAAGCAAAGCCTGCAGCAGAGAGCAGAGCTGGCAAATAAAGAGGCTATGTGTGCTACTGGTAATAAAGCAGGAAAGATCCAGCTACCTAAGCCCTTTAGACCACAGATGATTCCATCATGAGTTCCAGATGTTGGACATGAAGCTTTAGGGTTTGGGCTTTGGTCTTGCTTTTGTATTGTCTTCCTTTCCATATCCTCACTCTTCCATTTAGAAATGGGAATGGTTGCTCTGTACTGTTGTATGTTGAAGGCATTTAATTTGCCTTTTTGATTGTACAGGGATTCACAGTTAAGGTAGTTCCCTTGAGTCTCAAAGATGACCATGCACCTATGGGAGAATGGAGCAGAATGGTCTAGTTTAATTGTAAAATGTCCTCTGTAGACTTGTGTGCTTGTACACTTAGTTTCCAGCTAGTGACACTTTTTAGAGTGTTGTGGAACCTGAATGGGGTGGAGCCTTGCTGGAGGAAATTGGCCACTGAGAGACCTTTGCATTTTATATTTATAGCTGGGCTTCGTGTCTGGTTTGATATCTGCTTCCTGACTACTTACACCAGGTCCCTCACATACCTGACACCTTACCTTCCCTAACTGTTAAACCAGAAGCCTAAAGAACCCCTCTTGAGTTGACTCTTAGCTGGTACTTGGTCGCAGAAGTGAGAACAGTAACTCTGTGCTGCTCACCTTTTAGTCCTAATAGCACTGCCAATGACAAGGGCATAAAAGAGCTTTGAAAGAAACAAATTCCTTACAAAATAGCACAAGAAAGTGAACAGCATTATTTCCGTGGATACAAGAAGATATATAATTAGCCATGCAGAGTATAATACACAATGAAGTATCGGAGGGGAACATATAAGCAATGTTAGTAGCAGAGCCAAGACCAGCTGACCCATTTGAAAATGAATGCTTTAAATAAGGGTGTATGTGCACATATAAACACACACACACATACACATCATCTACATATGATATAAACGTATGTAGTACATGAAAAAATGTAATGAGAATGTCATTGAAAAATATAGGACATTTCTATATGATATCCTTAAGTTTATCATCATTTCAAAAATGGCATAGGCAGGGAGCAGGGGAGGAAGGAAGGGAGAGGGAGCTGGGATTGATATGTTAACCAAGCTTGTTTCTAATTTAAATTAAAAAAAGAAAAATTAAATTAAATATATACATATATTTAAATGTCTTATAAATAAAGGAAATGTATACATGGATGCATTGTTTTCACTCTATAGAGAAGGGTGGAATATTACTGTTGTGAGAAGAAATCTGAAGCATCAAACAAAAACTAAGTGGAGTTTTTTTGTTTTTTGTATTTTCCTTCATCATGGCAAGTCACAATCCCCTTTCTTTCTTGGGAGGTTATATATACATGTTTTATGGATATGCATGTATGTTCATGCAGGTATACCTGATCAATATCACGTGCTTTTCTCTATTACTTTCTACTGTAATTTTTGAGAGCAGGGTTTGTCTTGGAGCCTGGAGTTTACCTATTCGCTAGGCTAGCTGGAAAAAGAACTCTAGGGACTTGCCTGTTTCTACCGCTCAGCACTGGGATTCCAGTTCCTTGGTGCTGCCGGTCTTGTATATGGCTTCTGGGAATCTGAACGCAGGTTCATGTCTAATGGGTACTTTGCCAACTGAACCCTCTCCCCCAGACCTGAATCCATGTTTTAACACACATAAGATGTCTCTGTCTTTTTCCAAGTCTCTAAAACAATTCTCAAAATGTGGTCCCAGACCAGCATGATCAGCATCACCTGGAATTTGTTAGAAATGTAAATTTGTGCCCTTCCCTATTCCTGGCCCACAGAATCAGAAGCTCTATAGGTAGGAACCACTAAGGTTTAGCATTGCCTACAGGCGACTCTAAAGTAGAGTTCACGGATCAGTGCTCTGAACATGCGGCCCTCACCTCCTCCTGGTAGAGCATTTGGGGAATGTCAATTAAATTTATAAAAAACAAGCTCTCCCATAACATTACCCACACTTTTGTTCTTGTAAAATTTAGGTTATTTCTTAATGTGCTTGGAAATTAACCATGTTTCACAATGAATGACATGAGGGAGATTGCTGTTAGCGTTTAAATTACTTTGTGTTATGAGATTTTCATTAATTACTTGTGTTCTTAGTAGCTGAGGCTTTATGAAAGGACCTGTGCTAGCATTAATAAATGCAAACAAAGTGGAAGGTCCTGGGGTTAATGAGATAATAAAACATTAATCTGTTTCTCCTTTAATGTAAAATGGAGACCCATCAGGTTCACTTTATATACGGTACATTTGTCTTTCCAGGAAGAACAAAGTATGCTAGCCATGGAAGATGAGGGCACAGTACAACTCCCACTGGAGGGACACTACAGGTAAGAGTATGTTTAAACCACATCAAGTGGGAGTCATAGGATGTGCTGGTTATACTCTCCATACCATGTGAAAGTTAGTGAAGTTGTGTTAAAATGTCCAAAAGAATTCAAGACTAAGGAATAAATTGCACATTGCAGTAAGTTCTGCCAATACTTGTGTGTAGCAAAATTACATAAAATGAAATGAGAACAGGGAGTTGCCTTTTCTTTTCATGTTTTATAAGATCACTTTCATATTTCCAGAAATTATTACCTGAAGACATTCACTATTCATTTCTAGCATAAATGAGATCAGTATCTTTAATATGACCTTGGAAAAATATTTTTAATCTGAGAATTTGCTCTTAACAAAAGCAATTCACGAAAAGATCCCTAACTTTTGAGTTAAAGGAGTCAGTCTGTCTGTCATTTAAGAAAATAGTCATGTAGTTCTGTGAAATATACTGATCTTTTTACAGAGACTGTTAAAAGGAATTTTTGTTAGTTACAGTGAAAACTTTTACAAACATTTGTCTCCCCTCCCTCTCTCACTCTTCCTCCTTCCTTCTCTTCCTCTTTCTGCTCCCTTCCTCTCTCTCCTCTACTCTCTACCTCCTTTCCTCTTTCAAAAATTTTAGTTTGAATAATTTCCTCACAAAGTCTGCTTTAAGTACTATTTGATACCCGAATGTACGATCTCAGAGTTCTTAGGCTTTGCCAGTAAATAAATAAACATGAAAGTTTTAGGGGGAGAGATTTGCCATGGTGCTTAAAAGACAAAATGAGAAATAATCCATTGGATCTCAGAGTCGTACTCTAACACAATATTCTCCCCCAAAAGTTTAGGTGTGATTACCTGCAACTTCAAAGTGAACACAACTGGCGAAAGTATTTTAACTCTTTCTTTTCTCTCATTTAAAATGCTTTTGATATATTGAATCAGTATATTCTCACGTGAATTCTACAGAAATTAGCCTTATGACATGCCACTCCAAAAGGGTTTTGTAGTTAAATAAGTTCAAAACACAGTTCAAACTGCATACTACTTTGTAAATTTATAAAGGAAGTTTGCATATGCAATAACAAAGGTAGCACTGCCCCCTTGAAAGTTTAATTTTGCTTGATTCAAAATTTTCCAAACCTCTTTGTTCATAAGGCTGTCTCATAATATCATGATATACTTGTTTTTTGTGTAATGCTTTTTTTTGGAAATTAGTTGATCTATTCTTAGTTTCTAGGAAGTTCTATTTTCTAGAAGGCTACAGGAACTAAAGACACAGTTTCAGATTGGGTAAGGCTGAATCCTAGTGTTTCATTTACCCTAAATGTTCGGTTTGCTGTCCTCTTGTAAACAGCTACCAATATACTTGCCATGAGGCCAGCTTAGGAGTTTGGTTAATGTGATTTTTTTCCACAGTAAAGAATGATACCTATATGTACAAAAAATATAGTGCTCTTTTTTTTTTTTTGCTTTGTTTTGTTTTTTCAAGACAGGATTTCTCTGTATTGCTTTGGAGGCTGTCCTGGAACCCGCTCTGCAGAACAGGGTGGCCTCGAACTCACAGAGATCTGCCTGCCTCTGCCTCCCAAGTGCTGGGATTAAAGGCATATGCTACCAATACCCAGCAAAATAGTGCTTTTTTATTACAAAAGTTTTCACTTGGTCTGTGATTACTTTATGCAGCTGTTTATGATGTTTCTAACTCTTGAGAGGTTTTGAAGCTACATAAATGTTTTCTATAATTGTTTTACATTTAAAGTATAAAAAAAGAACAAAACTAACCAAACCAGTCAACTATCAGCATAGAACCTAACACATCCCAGATGTGTGGGAAATACTCTGTCAAAGGCTCAGGCTGAATTCGTTTTCAAACACATAATTACTGAGGAAGTGCCATGTGTCCAGCTGTGGCTGACTTGTGTGGGGAAATGGCTCTTAACCAGTGATCTAGAATACTGTTGCCCCTGTGTTCAAGCAGAACAGCGCATCAGGACAGAGAATATACTTGTGAATAGCGAATACAATGTGGTAGATGGCAAAAAGGAGAGGAAGGCAGAGGGAAGAAAAGAAATGGGGGGGTGGCTTCAGGTAGTGGAGCAGCAGTTTAAAATGGCGGCAGCACGGGCCTCCTGAGCAGTTAAAATTAGAACAGAATCAGAAGCAAACATCTGAGATCGGGGACAAACTAAGAAAGCCGTAGCCCAAGTCTATAACTACACAGCTAGAATATTTACGCTAGATTTTTCAGATACTTTTTAACAACTGAGGGAGTTGCTTTATGTTTCTCAATTTTAATTATTAAAATATGCTACTATAGTAAATAAAATGAAATGTTATTGGACCTGAAAAGGAGAGAAATTTAGGCATATGTTAGGACATATTAAACCATGAGGACATTTTTCAAATAAAATAAGACAGTGACACAAAAAACAAACATTGTATGATCCATCTTACATGAAGCACTTAAAATACCCAAAACAATAGAGACAAAACATACAATAGTGCTTGCCAGGGCTGGGAAGGGGAAGAAACAGCAGACAGTTATTGTTTAATGTAAGATTTCAGTTTTATAAGGTGGAAAGAATCCTGGAGACAGATGTAGTAGTGGGCTATAAATTGAAAATGCCTTTCATAAGTTTTAATTGTACATCTTAAAATGTTTAAGATGTGAACTCTATGTTGTATGCACTCTACTATGAAAACGTTAAATAAGATGTTTCACATAGTTATGAAATAATCATATATTCATCTTCTCAACCTGAATGCCTCATGACTTGTTTATTGTGTATTATTTCATTTTGGGTAAACTCCTATCTAGAGATGACCCATCCGTGATCAATATTTCTGATGAAATGTCAAAGACTACCATGTGGGGGAACCTTCTGGTTACTGCTGACAACTCAAAAGATAAGGAGTCACGCTTTCCTTCCAAAAGGTTTGAATTTTGAAATAATAAGGTTATATAAATGCTAATGATTTTGTGGCATAAATTCACTAGGAAAAGATTCTATTGGTTTTAGTCAAATTTAGACTTCAGATATTTCAGAAAATTTTTTCGAAAGGGAAAATGACAATTTTTACAAATATTATGTTTTTCAGTATCTTCCTTTAAGATAATTTTTTTAAAAACCTCCAAAACTACCACAGTGGGGGGGAAATGGAGCTATTAATGACCCCAGTGCATGACAATTTTGAACCTGCATTTTGGCCCATTCTTTCTTTGTGTGGTTTCATTGTATTTTTTCATCACATACTTTCCAGGACCACCGTAGGTACTGGACCACATTCCCCACTCCCTGCTTCCTTTTGTGACAATGATTTGGCACATGTAATGATCATTCTACATTTAGTTGATTTCTAGTTCCCTATTTTCAAGTCCCCGACAAACTTCCCTGACCTTACCCTGAACACCCATCCATTGTCACTGTCTGTAGACACGTGAGCAGTCCTATAGCTGTGTTGGTGATTCTAAGTGCATGCTGAGGAAGAATGAGTCTTTAAACAGTAAGGGAATCCTGGTGTTTTCCGCTGAATTTTCCAGGACTTGTAAATGAGTGTGGATCTTAGCATGCAGCCATCTTAGAAGCTGATCAGAAGAAAACCCTGTGTTATGCTAGTTTTTCTTGTCATAAGAAAGTGGTTGATGTTTGGGGATGGTGTAATAATGATTTAATTTATTTATTTTTATAACCTTACATTAACTTTTTCTACTTAATTTTTATATTACATTTTTTTATCATAAGCTCCCCTTCCTAATCACTCTAGAAGCTGATTCCCCAAAGGTAAGACCTTTACCCTCAAACCTACTCCCTGGTTGCATTTCCTTATGTTAAATGGTGTCCTCTGGAAAGCTGGTCAGCCTGTCATCTGTGTGAGTTTTGGGGAGGCAAAAGCCCTAGAGTCTTGTACTCCAATCCAACGGAAGACTGATTTTTATGGTGTTTATTTCTACTCAGTTCTTTAAGGGGCTCTGAAACATGAGGAAACATGTTTCCCCTTAAAGTATGCAAATGCATAACAGGTAAAACAACAGAGCTTACAGAACCATACTTAGCAAGTAATGGTATCAAATTTCTAGATTGTGAAAAGAAAATTTGCCCTTTAATTTTGAAAATTGCAAATGTTTCTGATACCTGCAAACTTCATGAAACACAATCAGAGCCATGGACTAGAAAGAGAGAGAGAGAAAGAGAGAGAGACTAAATTAGTCTTCGGAGGGAAACCTCTTATGGCTAGTTTTTGTCACCCCAAAATGGCATGCTGCTTCAATGTCATCTCTGTAGCAAGCAGAGTAAATAAGACAGAGACCCTAGTCACTAGAAGCTGATGCAATCTTTCCTCCCTCCCCTGCCACTTTTCCTCTCTCATTGCTTGACTAAATTCCTCTGATTGTCTGACTCTAAATTTGTCTAAAATTTAGACCAAAGGAGCTGGACATAAGCTTCTTAGTAGGCTATTTCTAAGAGTTTTGAATGGTGTCTTTGAACAGGGATTCAAAACCAGCATGTATTCCCTTGCTTGGTTTAAGCAGCAGTAATGTTTATTCACAAACATGATCTAGCTTTCTTTCTTCAAAATCCTTAGTCCCTTTCTATAATCCTTGCAGTAATTTTGTGTTTTGTCAGAACTCCTGAAAGAAACTCAGAGTAGTAAGGAAGGAAGCTTAAGCCCACGAAATCTGTACCTGTGATTCCATCACAGGAAAATTTGGCACTTCTCTAATTTATTTTAAAATATGAAATCCAGGTTCATGAGTTCAAAATGAAATGCCAATCATGGTAACTGGGCAGAGAATTTGAGACAATCAAACTTACAGATGCTTTTCATTCTGAATTGCATGGGTCCATAGTCTAAATTTCTTCCTTTTTTCCGTTGTATTGAGCAATGGTTTTATAATGTGTGATACTTTCTATTGTTCTTAAGGTAAATATTAAGGTCAAAAGGTGCCCAGAAAACCTAGTTGTTTTTAAATTATGCATGTAACTAATTTCAGAAGGAGATGATTCTGGTTAACAGTGTAGTATACTTGACATGTGTCTACTTATAAGCAGACCATCATTCATATACTGGTATAATTGTGTTTCTTGGTTTGTTTGTTTTTTTAACGTGTATACACACTGATCTAACTTCAAACCATTAAGGAATGGAAGTTCAGTCTAGTTTTCTCTCTCTCCCTTGCCCTTCCCCATGTGTGTGTGTTCATGCATGTGTGTGTATGTGTGTGCATACACCTGTGTGTGTGTGTGTGTGTGTGTGTGTTTGAGATAAAGTGTTACTATGTTACTATACATCACAGGTTGGCCTTGAAACAGTTATGCTCCTAAACATGTTGCTATAGCTAGCACTTTTCTTCACAATTTGACATGACATAAACTGTGTCAGTTTGGGGAGCCTTTCATCTTCACAACAGTGGAAACTCTGGAAGAAAGGAAGTGGCTTCTAGAAATCCTAAAACCACCAGTATTAATTGCAGTGATACCCTTCCAAAGCTACTGCTTTCCCTTAGCATTTGTTGAAAAGAGTGAAGTATAGCAAAGGAAGGTTGCGCATTTGCAGGATGGCAGACAACCCACTTGTCAAAACCAAAGAAACCCTAAAGATGAGGTCACTGGGAACCATATCTCTTGTGACCCAAGCTGGTTCCACACAGACTTTGATCCACCTCTCTCTTCTGTAGTTACTTTCCAGTTTGTTTCTTTCTATATAGTGTGTCTCGGGAAACATAATTACCTGAGCAAATGAGGTTTAGAACTGCAGTATTGTACCAATTGTTTTGTTAGCATTTTGTTTTTGGAGATACTGTATCTATTTGACTGTGAGTAGAAACTAGGAGCTGACTACAATTCCAGCTCATTCTGAGTATGTCTGCATTGATCCTGGCTGAACAGTGCTGTGCACTCATATGGCAAGCTCCTCTACAGCATCTTTTTACTTTAAAGGTCTTGAATTTTATTTTCATTTCTTGATTGCCTTGCTTGGTAGCTAGCAAGAAATACATAAACTAAAAAAATTCTAATAAATAACTTTCAAACTCAACACTTAAACTCCAAGAAAACAGGTGAGATAAACACTAGATGTAGGCACTCAACATTAAAGCAACTTTGTATCTTGTACTTGTAAATACTCGTTGAGTCAAGTAAGGATTGATGAGAAAGACCTAAAGAGCCTAACCTCCTAAAAGCATTAGGCAAATTATTTTCCTACTAGTTAAGTATGTTGTATAAGAATGACTTTTAAAAAAGTGAATCCAAAAAGATACCTTTTAAATCACACTGTGTCCTGCAAAAGAGTTGGTTGCTTAAGCTGGCACTGGAGAATGTTGCAGCAAGTAGTGATTAAAATTTGTGTCTTTGCTCTGACAGGTTAGCTAGTGGGTAGCCTGGCTTTTCTATGATTGTTCTGCCTTGGATTGTGTCACTTGTGTGTGATTCCTATGTGGAAACTGCTGTTACTAATCTCAAGGATTCCCTTTATTCATATATACTTTAAATTTGCAACATTGATCTCACAGTGTACTTGCTATTTGTCATTAGCAGTGTGTGATTAATAGTTTACAAATCACTTTTAACTTTATGAAATTATATACTACTTAGCTATATTATAATTTGTAGTTTCCTACTGTTGCATACGTAGACTGTTTCCAATTTTTTGTTTGTTTGTTTTGGTCTTTAAAAGATTTGTCATTATCACCACCACCAACACCATCATCATCATTATCATCATTATTATTGAGACAGGTTCTCACTATGTAGTCTGACTGGCCTGGAATTGATTTGTACCAGGCTGGCCAAGAACTCACAGACATCTGTCTGCCTTTGATGCCTGAGCTCTGGGATCAAAGTTGAGCACTACTTTTGCCTGACTCAATTTATATTACTTTCAATTATGTGTATGTGTGTAGGTATATGCTTATGAGTACAGTGCCCAAGGAGGCCAGAAGAGGGCATTGGATCCCTTGGAACTTGAGTTAGGTGGCTGTGAGTCACTTTATGTGGGTGCTGAAAACCCAAATTGGGTTCTATGCAAGAACAGAATCTACCCTAACGCCCTTAGCCACAGATCCAACTCTCTAGCACCTTGTTTTGCTTTAAAAAATACGTCTTTGAGGTTTTTTGTTTTACTTTTCTGAGAGAGTTTTACTAGGTAGTCCCAATGATTTCTTTTTTAAATAATAAAATAATTATGATATATAACTATATATTGTATATAACTATATATTATGTAGTATATAGTTATATGTATAATTATATAGTTATAGCGGAATGTCATTAAGAGTAATTTTATTGCTATGTCTTCTTTGCTTTGTTTGGAACAATAGTGTTTGGTGTTAGCCTAGGTTCTTGGGTTATCTAGTCTCAGGTTCTTGGTCACCCAAGCAGTATTGCATGTGGGTTCCATCTCATGGATTGAATCTTCAGTCAAATCATATATTGGTTAGTTAGTCCCATGAGCTTTGTGCCATCATTCCTTAGCATATCTTGCAGAAAGAACACCATTGTAGATCAAAGAGTTTGTGACTGGATTGGCATTCATGTTTCTCTTTTGGTAGCTTGCAGAGTTTGTTCCTGTACCATTCTGTAGGTATGAAGGCTCTATGTAGGCAACAGCTTGATTTCTTCTTGTTCAGTGAGTTGCCTCCACAGCTTCTCATAGAGTCTGAAGAAAACATGTCTTTCAAAAACCACATTTACTGTACATAGTGAACAATCACAATGCTTCATAAAGTGGACTCCTAAGAAGGTTTCTTGCAGTGGTGTCTATAAATGCTGGGGAAAAGAGCATTTTCAGTGATCATAAAAGTATTTTATGAATTCTTTGAGTATTTCATACAATGTATTTTGATTATATTTGCCTCCACCTTTCCCCATACTCCTTCCAGATTCACTCTCATTGCTCTACCCTACAACTTTGTCTCCTCTTTTATTTATTAAGCCATGGGACTCTTGTTTGTGCTGGGTGTGGGGCCATACATTGAAGCATGGATGAATTACCTGGACAGAATTCCTGCTACTATTCTTTCTGCCTCTCTTCTATACTCCTTACATCCTCCTCCTATCTTGGAGTCTCCTTCTTTGCTGTGATTTCTTAGGCCTTTCCCTAACTACTTGAAAAATTCTGTTCAGATTAGTATTTAAGTTCCATGGAAGAAACTTTCTCATAGATTTCTCAGTAGCATGTCAACAGTGGTCTACTTTTTGCTCACTCTTGAAATATCATTTCCTTATTTTTATGTTCTTAGTTACTTTATTTTTTGGTATTATGATTATATCATATAATATATCATTTCCCTATCCTTCTTTGAAAACCCTCATGTACTTCTCTCTCCCTGCTTACTTTCAAATTCATGGCCTATTTTTACATTAATTATTTTTACATACATATATGTATATGTACATACATATATTTTTATAAATAAACAAACATAACCTGATCAGTCTGTATAATGTTACTTCTATGTATGTTTTCAGAACTGACCAACAAGGATAATTTCATCTATTATGTATTCCTAGATCTTCCCAATACCTGACAATATTTGTTTATTGCAGTAAGAAATAGTATACATATGATATATGTTTGTTTAGATGAAAGCTTAGTTGATTAGCATTTAGAAAAACAGATATAAGAAACCCAGAGAGAGAGAGAGAGAGAGAGACAAAAAATCATCATACAGTTAGAAAATCCAAAGAAAGCATTTTCGTAGAGATCTTGAGATGATTATAATACTTCTGCCTCTCCAAATAACTTTGGTGATTATGATTATAAAATAGTCATTTAGTAAATTATTGTTTTATCATATAAGACACCAATAAAATTAAAGCAGATGAGGAGGAAGCTTATCTGTGGATCAAGTTGATACTTTCTCTGTCTTTGTCTCTCTGCCCTTACTATTTAGTGACAAATTGTGCCACTTACCATTGAGAAATAATTTATTCACCAAGAAGTAATGTGATACCTAAGTTAAAAAATATTGTGTACTTAGGAATTATGCTAGAGTTGAGGCCACCATACCTCTTCCCTGCCAAGTCTCCTATAGATAGGATACAACATCCTATTTTCTAAAAGACAGAGTATATTAGAAACAGGAATACCAGAATCAGTATTCTAGAAGTGAGCCACAAGAAGACTCAGAGGCCATCTGGTCCAAAGCTCAATTCAGTGTTGAAGAAACCCAGAGCGATTAAACCATCAACTGTAGGTCACCCCCCGACCCACCCTTAGCTCTGGGAGATGAGACTGAGGCCAGATACTCCACCCCATTCGCTTGGGCTTTATTGGCTTTGTGTGACAGAAGAGGTGGGGACAAGTGACACCCAAGGACAAGTTAATTTGAAAAGCAGAATAGCAGACATTTGTCATATAAAAGGAACTTAAAATAGAAAAAAAAGTGAGTCATGCAGATAGAGAAGTTAAAAATACAGAATTAAGGCACTCAACACATCATGTGCACACTGTCATCTCTTCTCGTGGAAGGAGAAAAGAAAAGGGAAAAAAGTTGCTTAGCTCTGACCTGTAAGGAGTATGTGCTGAGAAGTGTGGCAGGCATAAACCCGGGTGCCATAGACACTCGCTCACACCAGCTCTCAGCGCTGGCAGCGGGCCACAGATGGCAGAAGCTCCGGCACGTCTTACCTGATGGCGCCGGGTGGTGGTGACAACTGAGAAGGGCTGTTTCTAGCTTGAATTGGAGAAAAAAAAACAATTTTAAAAACACACTCTTAGAATATGTTTAAGTTATTGACCACTAAGAAAGATGCTCAGGAAACCCCATAGAAAACATAACTTGGTTCGTTTATCACTTAGAGAATAGTTGTAAACCCAAGAGTCCTACCACCTTCAACTATTTCATTGATGTATATTAAGGGCCAGAGTTAACAGTAAAACGTATGTTGATTCTTCTAGGTTGGATCTAGATTGATCTTTATGCCATAGAAGGAAGTGGGTGGGGCAGAGAGACCTCCAGTGCATGGGACTTTGCCAGGCGCCAGAAGTACTGGAGGAAGGAATATGCTGTCCTTCTGAAAGCATACATTTATAGTCTAATCTTCCTTCTTTGAGCACTATATTCGAACTCTCCATGAAAAAAGTTACATGTGAGAGTAGAAGTACAAAATAGTGAAAATAATGCAGATAACTCAACAAAAATGGTAGTCACGTTATCAACCCAGTCGTCATTGAAGTCAAGGAAGATGAAACTAAACAGTTATTTCTCGAAGGAAATGGAGCATCACTCCTCTGCTGTGTATTGAGACTTCCCTGTAAACACAGCACAGGTGTGTGGAGTTCAGTGAGCCATTCTCTCAGGCTAGGAAGTCTATGTCTGCACTTCCTACCAAGACATCAAGGTCCCATCCAGGAACAAAGCAAAAGCCATTTCCAGAAGAACCTGGAAAGCTCTCAGCAGCACCTTGCTCTGTCATTTCTTGTCTTATGCCACCTTAATGGGAAGCATGACTGGCATTTTCACCAATTATCAATTACTCATTTTCCCAGATGAGGGGCGTGTATTAATCTTGCATGCTTTTAGAGCTCTTTGGAAATGTCTGTTTTTTGTTTCTCGGTGTCTGTTTTTGAATTTCCCCCTCTCTGCAGTTCTTGATTTCTAGTTCACAGAGTGCAGAGGATTTAATCGCTGCTGTGTATCTGTGTTGCAGCATGAGAGAGCAATGCCTAAGAACTCTTTTATGTCTTTGGGGTTGACTGGTTTCGTGTCTGAAGAAAATGTATCTAATAGTAACCAAGCTGGATTCTAGTAGTAAATTTCTCCTTTTTTTCCCTCCCCATTTAGCATTGAAAGCCGAAAAGAGAAGAAAGCTGACTCAGGGAAAGGTGTTGACAGGGAGACTTGTCTATGACTTGATCTTCAATTTATTTTTTACATATATATGAGAAGAGTGTCACAATTATTAATAAAACTGCTTTGATCATGTATTGTAAATCCTGTCTCCCATCCCAAATTCACCTTCATACTGTAAGTAGTGCAATGCTTGTTCCATTTTTGTTTAACCTCTGAGCAGTGGAACCCCCTTGTGAGCAGATACAATAGCTAAGGCAAGAGTCCCCCGTGTTACTCCTGTGAGATGCTCACCAAGACTGCGTTCTCACCATCAGCATTATGAGGGCAATGCTTTCTTAAAAAGAAAAAGAAGTCCTGTTAACCTAGTTTGTATTTTCCTACCTTAGTAACCTGAAGATATCTGATCATTTTATTCAGAAGAATTTTGAAGATAGTCTTACTTTTCATTTTCTATGCCCAAATCAAAGGGTTACTTAGAAAGCATTTTAAACAATTGTATTTATGTATTTCCTGACTTAATATGATGCATTTAATATTTGATATCTAACTGATACTTCAAGTTATGTGAGAAAGAAACTTGTTCATACCTTCTAAAAAGTCATACTGCAACAGAGTCCTGTAGTGTTTGCTTAGAACTCATGCTGTAACCATGTGGTCAAGTACTTGGCTTCTGTGAAATGCTTTAGAGATATCTGAAGAGTTCTCGTGAGATTTTTTTTCATTTTAAGTCTTTACCAGAAATGTGCTATTGAATTTCTCTCCTGTTGCCAACGGTTACTTCCCAAATACACCTATGAAATGCCATCCCTGTACAGCTGTTCTGCTGATGATGGTCACGTACTGCTTAGTAGTGGTCCCTATCATGTTGTCATGTTAGACCAACAAACAGTCTCCAATTGTAATTGTTTTTGCAAAGTTCTTTTCCACATTTTAATTAACTGCATGTTGTGGAAAACTCTGAACTAAAATTCAGACTCTGTTAGAGGTAATGTAAATATTTCAGTCCATATGAAACAATCCAACTTTACTAAGCTTATTGAAACAGGAAGGAGGTGATGGATTTTTTAGTATTACTAAATATATACATTTCATTTAATTTTAAATGAATGTGAGCTAATAAAACTGAAATCTCATAGGATTCTTAGTTCCTAAGGATTATCAATAATTGACAGCCTTATAATCTTTCCATGTCCAAATTTAGAAAAATTCAGAGCCCTGTGGCTTTTATAAACTATATGTACTCCATGTAAATGCACATAATTGGACAAATCTCTCTGTTACTAGTGACGGTGAAAAACAGCAAAGTCTACCTTAAACTTAACATTTTGATATCTTTTGAAAAAAAATTCTCAGTCTTTTCAGGAGCCATTTTTTAATGAAATATGAGCTAAAATTATGAGAAGAATTTGCATTTAGTAAGGTTTGTATTTATAAATGGTGAAGAAAAATGCAAAACTATGTGTTGCAAATATGCTGCCTTTGTGTATGTTGTAACCTGACACTCCATCTAAACATGTTCACTGTCTATGATTCAGCAAGTCAATCCCAAAGCAGTCTCCTAATGTTTCCATATAGTACTACCTGTTCTGTTCAAAGTGATCAGTGAATTAAAATCTTCACATGATCACTGGCTTGAGCAAGCAATCATCCTATGAAATTCTGTATTTCTGAGTATTTTTATAGTAATTTTGTTCTTGTGTGAATTTTAATGCTATCTCTATCTTAATCTTAATATTTTGAAACCACATAAATATAAGAAAATGTAGTATTATATATTTACTCCTAATTTCAGATTCCTGGTCAAAATTACTGAATATCTTGAATGTAATTTATTGCAATGTTTAAGTAATGTGTAAATGTGACTAGGATATTGTGTTTTTCAAAGCTAAGAAATGTTATGTGGAAATAAATATTTATCCTAACTAATTTTCCAGCTCATTTTAAAGTGTGTGCAATGTGTCTTGTCTTTATTTTTCCTTCATATTAACCAATAAATCAGGTAAAGCATTTTAATTGTCCAAGCATATTTAAAGTAAGACATCCCCACTGTTAAAAAAAACATGTGTAGCATAAACATTTCAAGTGGACTTAAACAACATGGCCTTTATGAACAGAAGATAATGAGGTGTTTGTAACGGTGCACATGCTTTTTCCCCATAGAACATTCATGAGTGGCGTTACCTCTATGACAAGCAAAAGACTCGTTAGTAGGAATCATCCACACTGTTAGAACTCATGCTTGCCTGCTTCTAACTTGTGTGGGAAAGCTTTCCCTGAATGTGTCCTTTCTGTTTGCTGTAGAGGTCAAATGGGACTGCAATTCTTTTGGGGCCATCTAGTAGATTGTTGGGAAGAGTGTATTCAGAACTGTGCCTGCTGGCTAATATTTCTCTTGACTAGTAGGCTTACTTGTAATTGCCCCTAATTAACAGCATCCATGTTTTTCCTAAATATCTTGTTGGAATGATTCAGACTCCTACCTACAGACAGCCAGTTTAACCACTTGTTCAAGATGCTGTCTTTTTTTCCAGGGTGTATATCAATAGGTGTGTAGGTTTATGTCTGGGTTTTCAATTTGATCCCATTGATCAACATGCCTGTTTTTATGTCAATACTCTGCTGTGTTTATTAATATAGCTCTGTAGTACCTCTTGAAATTGGGAATGACAAGATCTCTAGCAGTCATTTCATTGTTCAGAATTGCTTTAGCAATGGCGGTAATTCAAACTCAGTCTGATGGAGACACTCTCGTGATGACTCCCAGATCTTTCAGGATTTTCTTAGGTCTTAGAAGTGAAGTTACTCTGCTTCTGTTCTGCACTGAACTCTGTGTTTCTGTATACAGCCCATTTTCTCCTGAGTTGCCTTTCTATCACTGACAGACAGATCTCCAACCTTTTAGTCTGTCTATCTTGTACATCCAGTTAAGGAAATAAAATAAGATGCCATCTGGGTGGTAAACATCTATAATATCAGCACTCGGGAGGCTGAGCTAAGAGGACTCTGCCAGGATTTTGAGGCCAACCTGGGCTATCATGGACTTATAATCAGCATGGCCTAAATAGAGCAAGGTGCAGTTTAAAAAAAAAAGATGGCAACCTTTTGAAAGTTTTATGAAAGCCATATAGTCTCTGAGTATTTTGGGAGAGTGGTTGTGGTTAATAATCAGAGATGACCTTCTGATTATTTCTCTCCAGTCCTAATGGCCTCATTTCTTCTTACTGTGGACTGAGCTTATATCTAGGTCCACTTCCTTTTGTTGTGGAGTCATAGGCTTCTGTCAGGCAACCTCATTCCTCCATTTGTTTATAAGCCCCTTGATGTTATCTCTATAGGGTCTAATTCTGGGCCCTGATATTTACCCTAACAGCAAACGTTCCAGTAAGGTGTTTCAGGAAATGCTGTTGTTCAGTTAAGACTAGTAAAGGATACGTTACAATGGAGAACACCAGCAGTGCATAGTGGATACTACATACAACTGGCACGTGAGAACACGGAGCTTTAAGGCCAGAATCTATGCAAGGTGTGCAGCTACCAAAGTAGGAAAAGCAACAAAATACTGTGGCTAGGAGGAAAGGAAACTGGAAAGGAAGATGCTAGGCATTGCATATATGTAAATCTCAGCCATGCAACCGTTCTGAGGTAGGAAGTTTTACACTTTTTTTAGAACTCAAGTGGAGTTGAATTCAAAGAGTGTGGACAATGTTCCTTAAATACTATGTTTGTCACAACTGCTGATTATCTTGCCCTATGTGTCTGATTTCAGATGAAGGGCACTGTATCTCAAGCTGGAGGTGAGAAAGGATTTTGCTCATCCCTAATAGAATATTCGCTTTGGTTCTTAGGATCAGAATAAGATTGAGTACAATTTCTCCTCAATATACTATACTTTCTTCATCACCCACTTCTCCGTGATAACAATTGAACTATAACTAACCAGTGAATGCCATTTTGTTGTTCACAGTTCACAAAGATATGATTTTGTATAGAAGTCACTGAGACAGGCCCATCCCTTCATGTACCTTCAAGGACCCTCACCTTCATGTCTCTTGCATTCGAGGATTCAAACAACAATGCCTGATCAAAATGTTTCTAAAACAACTATGTCTGCATCAACACGTATTTGCGTTTCCTCTTATACACAGCATTTACATTGTCCTGAGTGTCACAAGAATCTGGAGATTATTTGAAGTACAGGGGAAGACAAGCTTCTATTTTTATAGTCTATGCCATTTCACAGGAGATATTTGAAGGTCACTGGACTTGGGTACCTATATCCACAAGAGAATCTAGAACCAATCCCCTGTAGATAGAGAGAAAGAGATAAGAATTTTGGTTGTTGAAGGGTCACAATGTTGAATCCACTATCATGATGGATGCTTCATGAGAAATTTCACAAGCTTGGAGAATTTCTTCAGAAAGGCTAAGTAGAATAAGGACTTCTATTTAATTTGCAGACATTTATAGTCTATAACAATGGTTCTCTACCTAGGGTCACAACCCCTTCGGGGGCTGAATGACCCTTTCACAGGGGTCACCTATGACCATCAGAACACAGATATTTACATTATGATTCATTGGTAGTAGCAAAATTACAGTTATGAAGTAGCAACAAAAACAATTTTATGGTTGGGGGTCACCACAACATAAGGAACTGTATTAAAGTGATGCAGCATTAGGAAGGCTGAGAACCACTGTTCTATAGGCATTGAAAAACATACTTTTTCAATAGCAGCAAAAATATTCTCATTTCATTAATTCAAATTCTCGGGCTTAAATGTTAATATTGTCAGAAAAATATGACATGCAGAGAAATGATCAAATACTACTGAGCTTCACAGCGGTGGTGTTAATATGAGGCTCTGAGATTTCTTGTGGGTTAGCCAATGATGTTATGGTTATGGTTTATAACCCCCATTTGTGTTTCATTCCCAGCCATCTGTATCCCCCAAAACATCCTGAATGTATGCTTCAGGTCACTCAGGACGTATGTGAAAATACTGCTGAAATAACTGTCATAAAGTTGGCACAACAAAATTATCTTATTTTAGGGGAAAAAAAACATGCTTGTGTTTTGGTATGTTTTTTCCACTTAGAATTTATTGAATGTTAAATATTGTACAAATCTAGTAGTCTTATAATTCAGTATTCTCACTCCAACTTAGAGCAAAAGCAGTAAGTGCTCAGAAGTGGGACTGCTAATACTGTGGTCAAGAAACACAATGCCCAGAGCCACACAGACTGAAGTGATCCTGGATCATGAACCCTTTCTCCCTTCTGTTAGCACGTGTGCTCCTGGATGCTGGGGGACTCTGAGCACAGTTTGTGAGGGAAGGCTTGGTGATACATGTACTTCCAGAGGCTGCATATGCCCAAAAGAGACATGTCTATACAACTTGATGACATTGCTAGTTCTCGTGTGTTTCAAACTTACCCTTAAGTTTGTCCATAATTTATGTATCAGTTTCTTTACCTAATTTACAACTCCTACTGAAGAGTAAAATATGTACTATGAGGGTCGAGGAAAAACTGAAATTGTTCATATTATCACCATTTGAAACCTTCATTGCCTGAAAAAAATGTGTGCTGTGATATTTTTATTACTTCAGGCTCCAGAAACAACACGTTTAGAAATAAAAGGAGCAAAAACATTCATGATTTGGGCATTATATAAATATTATACAATCATGAGAAATGAGTACAAAATTAATATAAAATCTGGATTGTTATATGATGTGGTTTAGATTAATGAACCCACAAAGGGTAGTTTCTGTTTAATCTGTTCTTATGTTTCCATGCTGTCAGGAACATGAGCTACGTCTGCTCCTTGATCTAGGACCTTGAAGATTGGTCCTGCTACACATGTGCCTGAGCTATATTCAAAACAAGGATAATGGCCAGAAACCTACAGGGCTTAGTGTCAGCGATGTTTCCATTGGAAAAGTGGCACTTGAAGTTAATTAAGGTGAAACATATCAGTGATGTGCCCTGGATACAGCATCAAAGCCAATTTCACAGCCTCTGTACATTGTTCTCATGAATCTCTAATCTCAATTTCATTATTTCTGTCAGGTTTGGAGTGTATGCTGTAGCTCACTCCTCTGTGATAACTTTGCCTAATAAATGGTCTGCATTTAAATGTATGAGGTCCAATTTTAAAATGCAGCTGTTACAAATAATTGAAACAAAACATCATATTTCCTAAGTTATTTAAACACTGCTAAGTCAAATTCAGTATTTGAAATATATTCTTTCAAAAAAAAGAGACCCGAGAAAAACAAAACACAAAATCCTGTAAGGACATATCTACTGACTGCATCATCAGAACTACCAAAGTAAGTTGCTGAGTTGCTGCTAGTGTTTACTCTCATGCTGTAAGCCTGGGTTAAATTAAATTATATCTTCCATAGTATATAAATGACCACATTATTATTAATCAGTTTTTTGAAAGATATGTATTCAGTATGAGAACTGAAATATCATGGGTATTAGATAAAAATCTTATGAATTATTTAACTTTAAGCAGTTTTATGTATGTAAGTTTTTTTTAAGCTGAACTCTTTCCATGTTTACAAGACAGTCTTGGATTTCTAACAAGTTAAACAAGAACCTTTGAACAAATGTGTCCATATGTCAATGCCATTTAAGTTTGATTCAAGATGGAACCCATTACCTCTGAAAAATGGAGGCATATTTACTAAATGACCAGGCAAAATTCCAGTGTGGAGAATAGAAAGAATAACACGCAACGTTCTCATTCATTTTCCATTGAAAAGCCAATCAAGTGAAAAATAGTTTAATTAACAAGCTCAAAGAAACGAAGTAAGAAAAACTGGTGCAAGTATTCCTTCATGTTAGAATTTGAGACACAAATATTTTCAACTTTTAACAGGGCAAGTCAACGTGTTCCAAGCTGCCTCTTTTCACTAGGAAACATCGGTGATTTTTTTTTTCAAAGCACATTTACAATGCTGTGCCATCACCCTTGCTGTGTTTTTGTAGCACCTATAGCCATAACTGGCACCTGGGGGCCTTACATTGCTGGCAGTTTCCCTTGCGTTTCTTTGGAGTCTATTCAACTGCTGTGGTTTTACTGAGAACTCGGTGCTTTGCATATGTGATTTCCTGAGACTGTTTGAGTAGTCTTTCTCAGAAAACTGTGCCAGTCTGGCAGTGAGCAGCACTTCTTGAGACGAGATGACAGTAGCCTGGTTGGGTTGGTATGCTTGGACCTGCGTCTGTAGCCATACTCTGTAAATCTCTCCCTGTCCCCCCTTCTCTTGTTGCTGTCCTAATGACATCATCACCCTCATCTTGTCATCCCTTAAATAAGGGAACAAGGTTTGGACTAGTCTAGTAAGAAAAAAAAATGATATTCTTCTCAGGAAATCTATGCAGAGCTCTTGTAAAAAATAATTTATATTTGTTGTTTCAGCAGCTGATGTGGAAGTAATTTTGAGTGATAAGCAAAACAGAGTGAAAAATCCAAATTGCTGTAAGGTAATAATCTGTTGTGAAGACAGACATCCTTACTTAGGACTGCAGGTATGAACCTGGAAAGTAGCCTGAAATTTCTCGATGCAAACATTATTAGGATCGTCATCTTGACAGTGCAGTTTTGAGATAATGAGAACAAATGTGTTTTTAAATAAGCTGTAGAAGCTTTGCTGTGCTACTGTAAGGAGAGGCACTGTTGGAGGAAATGGCTCATGTGGGTATAGATATGCTGGTGAGCCGAGCTGCTAGCAATCCCATGGTCTTCATCCGTATACCACTGCAGGGAGAAAGAGGTCAGAATTAGGATGCCGGCTGTATTTTAAAAGGAAACTTTCAAATGAGCTCTTGCATGGCATTAAATAGGAAAAGTTAATAACCTGAAGTGTGGTCAAAGAGGGTGTCTAGTTCTTCCCCAGAGCTTTTCAAGACATGGTCAGTCCTGAAGAAGTCTCTGGTCCTCTTTTTCAGTTACTGAGAAAAGTGCACTGTACATTTGGATTTACTGCATAGCACTTTTAACATAGGTATATGCTAATTAAAATACTCAAATCAACTTTCAAATATGAATCAAAGGTCATTTAAAACCACACCATAAATGGGAAGGTTTATATCAGCAAGCATGCTATTTTAATGGGTGCTAGCAAGTATCAAATTTCTCCACACTTGAGTATGCATTAAAATAAATAGTTTTTAAAGCAGTTTTTCCAATATAAGCATCTAAATGGCTAGAAAAATCAATTTATATATTAAAGATATATATTATAAGAAAAGTCAAATATATTATTTACCAATAGTTAAATTTTATACTGCTAATTAAAAATTCTGACTATGTGACATTTATGTAGGAGTCTCCAACCTGAGTCAAACATGTACAATACTTACTAAATGACTGGGAAGGCACTGTCAGACTAGCATATATTTCTGAGACACAAGTTAATTGTAAAATCGTGTTTTAAGTATTATCTGATTTTGCTTTAATCGGTGGAAAAAAATAAACCACAACCTCTACTGAGAATCTGGCCCAAAAGATATGGGAGGTTTTTTCAGTACAAGATAGAAAACCCACTCCTAAACAGTGGGGACTAATGGAAACGAGCACACAGCAAATTTGTGTTAGAAAAAAGGCGGTGAGGTTTTCTAGCCAAAACAGACAACAAAACTGTATTTTAAACAATAGTATTATTAGTGCAAGATGTGTGTGTGTGTATTATACATGTATATTTTCTTTTTGATCTGAAAATTTCTAATATAGAAGACTAAATACCCCCTAAAATATTCTATGTATAGGCAAAACCAGCCTCAGTCATTTCTGACTTTATTTTTAAAAAGCCTAATGACTTGTTGCCTGCAGTTGTTCAACAAAAGAGTGTAGCAATTGCAAGAACTGAAGCATGCTGCTTATTAACATCCCACTGTTGTTAGGATGGCTAGTAATCATAACAGAATGGATTTTACATTTCAGTTATTATCATGCTGGTTTCACTTTAGAATTACTCTGCCACACATTTATGGAATAAGTGATTACTTTCAAATCAAAACAGGGAGAGGCTGAACCATCACATGAATAGAAGAATGGTGTTTTGACACTCCCGGATATGTAATACTATGTTTCTCAACCTCAAACTGTCTAATATTTACTCTGTGTATGACTCAAGGATATCACATCTCCAACTTCACACTGCAATAATAAAGCCCTCTTCAGTCCCAACTTCTGAGACATCCTTGAGAAAAAGTAACTCTCAAGAGGAAACTACAGCCATCAGATACTTTGTTCCCCCTGAATAAAGTCTTATTATACCATGGCTTGGAAATCCACGCCAGCTTCCACCAGGGCTTTGGAGATCTGAGCTGACTGCTGAAAGTGAACATTATCTGCAGGAAAGAAAGGGAACAAACAGCCATAAACAAGTAGCTAATAGCCTCTGGAGTGTTCAGATACGGAGGGGGAAAGCACAAGAAGAGATTGAGTGAAGTTCTAGGACTCGGCATCCCATTTAGCCCAAGACAAGTGAGTTGTGGAAAGCAACACTGTTTTATTGAAGTAAATGTAACAGTCTTGCCCCTCATGCTTTTGTTTTGTCAGTAGTGAAATTGCAAACCTGTCTGTGATACTAAAAAGTCTAATTAACTGAAACTCACCATCTGCTGTTCCATGAATAAGGAGGTACTGAACTTGTTTAAAATTTTCAGCTCTGCTCATGACTGTTGAATTCTGAAATTGGGAAAAAGAATGTCATTATTCAAAAAAGGATCTGCCATAACTGATTTTTCACTTCAGTTTACAAAATAAAATGTTTTCAGCTGGGGCCCCCTTTGATACAAAATATAGCAAACCGATATTCAAGCAAATGCTGTCTCTATGCGTGGCAGAATGCACAGCATGCCCTGTGCCTTGGAGACGGGACTGGGAAGGAAGAATGCCACATCTTCCCTGCACATGTAAGAAGAGGGCACCTGTCCCCTAGGCTGCATGCAAATCCCCCTTGAGGCCCAGAACACAGATTGGCTGTGTCCTATGCATTAGCAGAGGGCAGAGTTTCATATTAGCAATGTATGTTCCATGGGTTTCTGCTGTAGTTCAGCCAAAAAGTGTATTACCATAGCAACCATGTGTCACATGGTGCCATACATGCTACATTTCAAAGAGCCTGTACATAGCATTTGCAACTAAACATACTCTGCAATATGTCATGTGAACTTTGGTCCACATTGCTAGGTTCTAAATGGAAAGCAAACATTACCTCTTTGGAAGCAGATGTTTAAAACCTAAGTAAGGTTTAAGGGAGGGGCAGGGGTAAAAAGACCAAGGCTGGCCTCGTTTTTAATATTAGAGAAAAATGGCACCATTAAGGATTATCCCCAAGCCAGCCACGGTGATAGGATGAAGATTTAAACGGTCTGCTTTGTGGTCTGAGTCATCTAGGCGCTCCCACAATAAGAGTCAGAGGTCTGGGGTGAAAAAAAATTTTTCAACCCCAGCACTCTGGAGGCAGAAGCAGGCTTATCTTTTTGAGTTCAAGACCAGCCTGAGTTCCAGGTCATCAAGGCTGCACCGTGAAGCCCTGTTTTACAAATAAATAAATAAATTGTAGATAGATAGATAGATAGATAGATAGATAGATAGATGGATGGATGATAGATAAATAGATAGGTAGGTAACCCAAACATTAATAAAAAGCATAGGTCAGGTGATTTAAATTTAGGACTAGTTACAATGTTGAGATGAAGGACAAAATGCCAGCTAGAGACTGGGAAGAGGGAGTCTGCTTTGCCTGTCTGGAGTGGGTTGGGTAGGAAAGGGCAATGACATCTCAAAAGCAGCCAACTAGTTCTTCCTGAGTCAAGGTCCATGTTTCAGTGACATCTCTATCTACAAAACTAGTGCACACTTAATGCTTTTGCTGGGAGTCCTTGAGGTCTGGCCAGAAAGGTATGGGGCTACAGTTACATGCTAAAGGCTAGTTTTCAGTTTCAATACTACTGAGCTTTGCAACTGGAGACATACATGCTGCACTCTGAGTCCTGATTTCTGCAAAATGGGAGCAAGGGTAATTCTACTTAGGAGTCAAGAGATGTGGTAGAAGCATTGTTTAAAGTAAATTGTTGATGCTGACTGAAAATCCTGTGGCACAGTATCTCTGGAAAGTGACATGCAGTCACCCAAAATGCTTTCATGGACTAAAACTACTCAGATCATCCTGGATAGGTTAGCTCAAAGTAAATGCCTCATCCTGTCTATGCAGGCTACTTCCTACTCAGCCTAATCATGTTAAATTTCTAACCCAAATTGAGAATTACTTCATAGACTTACCAAATAAACATTGCAACTCATTACAAGTTGTTCTCTAATTCTAGAGAAACTTTCATCTGATGGGATGTCCTACATATATCTATCCAATTTGAATCCGTTCATCCAGCATGCTTGCAAGCATGCCTCTCTCCATCACGGCAATGCCACTTTTATTCTTGTATCCATCCGTTTATCTAGTCAAACAACATTGATTTGTATCCAACTAAATATTAAAGTCCATTATAAAAATGACATGTTTATATTGTTATCCTTAGCATGTAATAATATAGCTAAGTATTTATCAACTAAATAAGTAAATGAAATTATTCAGCACTGGCATTATCTAATATAATTTAGCTTATGTTTGCATAGTTAAGTGGGAATGGAGTAAACAGAATAAAATATCCTCATTCTGTAATCTATTAAGTTGTTTTGCCCACTTCCAGCTGCTACACCATGGCAGTAGTTATCCTAGCTATGTGCCTTGAGCATTCCTTCTGTGCCTGTCACTGTGCTAACCATCTTGAAAGGGCCATGAAAGTGAGTCCAAGGTTCACACCTGTAATAGGGCTGTACTGACCCTGTGCTTTGTAGGAAGAGACATCTTCACAAAGTAAGTAGCTTGTACCATGATCCATCCCCAGGAAGTGTCAAAACTGGAGCAAGTCTGGGAAAAACTCCTTTACTTTGTTTCTCTGTCATGTCTTCTACAATTGCAAAGGATTTCTGACTGTCTTCCAGCAAAGGAATGGTGTGAAATAAAATGTTAATTAATCACTGTGGAACTTGAAGTACATAATGGTGGGTACTCAGGATTCTGAGCCACAATGGTCTGAACACCCCTGTGAGTGGTGAAGAGTATCTTTCCCATTGGCAGGTGATTTATCACCCAGGATAGCACAGAACTTTGGGCAACCCTCTGTCTTCCAAGAGGAGATGATCAAATCAAACTGTCCTAAAAGGCATTGTTTCGCATCTGACATAGCTGGAGATGGGAAGGTGGGGTTAGAAGACTCTTGACTCATTCTGAATTGCAGGGCCACGATCCCTTAAGGGACTTTCGAAGTGATCTCGTCTGCCAGTCATGAGCTCAGCCTGTGCTGACTTTCTGTCCCCTTGTTTCTGCACAAGCTCAACTCCCCCTTTTGTTCACAGCTGATAATTAACTTCAACCCCCAGACCTGACCCAGACATACAACTGTGTCTCCTCGCCTCACCTCCAGCAGCCCCGTGGGCCTGCCTTGCTTGGCAGCAGGAACAGCAAAAAAACTGCTCCAACTACCTCTCAGTGCCATGAGATGGAGAAATGTCATTGAAACATAGAGTAATAGTTAGGAGGCATATAAATACACAGGACAGTTAGCAAGGAATGTGATAACTACTGGAGTTTGGACCAAAACAGTTTCTGGCTGCCTTTTTTTTCTTAAATGGAGTGAATACAGGCTGAAAGAAGACAATTTTTATAAACAAGTAAAACCCTGAGCCTAAGATAAATGTTGTGATGTACACACTGTAGCTGTGATGAACTAGACATGGTGAGAAATGCAACATACTGAGAAAAAGACGAAAACTGTGATAAAAGTGTCATGATGCAAATTGTTTTACATTAACAATATCACACTACAAAGAAAGGAAGACAAATACTTTAATGCGGCAAGAGAAAAATAAAACAAAAGCTTCCCCTGCAGTTGTGAGATCGGTGTGCCATTTCTGTGCACGTCTCCCTGCTCGTTGGAAGAAGCTTCCAGAGGGACCTTCAGATGAGAGAGACGGACCACTGCTTTCAGTGCAGAAAACAAACCTCTGCCCCCAAATGCAATGATGTCACTTGGCCTCTGGAACCTCTGGTGAGTGGTCCCTACTGGACTGTATGACCTGGCTTCTCTATTGAGACTCTCTTGCCTGCTCTATGGCACACTTCAAGATGTGGAGGAAACAGGCAAGCCAGTGTAGGAAATGCGTGCATTCCTCTAATATGTGATTAATGGCCGGAAAGATATTAATTATACTGTTTAACCCACCCAAATTGGATGACCCCCCCATTGCCTATCCGTGGAAACAGAAATAAAAAAGGAAACGGATGACTAAGTTACAAGCCGAATAGTCTATCACCAATGACTAAAAAGGAAGCTCAGAGTGATAATGGGCAAGGATGCTATGGTGGTGCAGTTGGCACTCTCCTGAGGCTAGAAACTTCCGGAGAGCCCTGCTGCCAGCAACAGTCTGGCAGACAGAAGTGGAATGGATTGGTCCAGTGGCAGTGCCGATTCCACAGCATCTCTGTGAGGAGCTTTTCCTTCAAGCCCCAAGAAGAACCATCTGTAGCTGCTTTGTTGGATCATGCTGGTTCCTCAGCTACCTTCCAACAAATAAATCTTTGTATTTTTGAAATAAAGGAAAGAGCTGATAAGAGTAGGGAAATGCTGCGAGAAACAGGAGGTGTGACAATTTTCAAGCCACCCCTCTTGCTCCCTGAAGATAGGGATTGTGACAGCTGCCATGGTTTCAAAGCTTACTTCGTGGCAGGTATGTGGGTCTCCTATAATAAGTTCTGTGACTCGGGGAGGCATGTCTGGTTACTCCCATTATTCAGAAGAGAAAATTGAGGTTCAGAGAGGAAGCATGGCTTCCCCAAGCTCAAACTTCTATAAGTAAAGGAAGCAGATTTTCAATGCCGGTCATTTGAACTCCAAAGCCCAAATCCCTCTCCAGTATATCCTATAGTCACCTGACATTACAGCCAAGACACTCACTACCATCCACAGGTCCTGTAGAGGGTCAAGAAGTCACTGGGTCTAAAGGATAACAACTTAGCAAATCAGTAAGCTATTGCTTTGGGCTTATTAGCTTACTCTATGGATTTTCGTCCCGTAATCAATGCTGTGTGAATAATATTAAAGGGCGCCATTTGGGAAGATCATTATTAATACCAGGCAGAGGGCACAGAAAACATTTAAGAAAAAACTGAATCCAACCCACTAAATAAAATGTTTTACTTGTGTACATCTCTCAAACAACTGCACCCATGAGTTGCCAAGTAAAGAGCTCCCATCAGCCCCAGACAGGGTGCTCTACCTCAGGCCTCAACACGTAACACTGGCTGCTTGAAAGATCACACAGCAGTCAACATTTTATCAGCACTCCACAAACAAGTTAAGGTTTGGCTTAAATCTGAAGGTCTCTCTCCCTTTGGCATATTCTGGGATAATAGAACAAATGTCAAATCAGTACAAGATGGCATATTTACAAAATTGCACCCTGTTTTGCATAACCTAACGATGCAGCAGTTCTTAAGGATTGAACGTTTCAAATCTGCTAGCAGAAGACTGCCAAATCTATGACTGTTTCCTACACTTGCCAAAAGCCTATCAAATTCTGAGCAAAATGCAAAATAAATCTCCTCTACAAGTTAAATCAGCCCTTCTGTGTTCCAGGCTGCCCTCTCCTCTTGGCAGCGAGGCTCAGGCCTGGGCCCCCACTCCTCCTGCCCTTGGTCTTTCTACTTCTCTGTTTATTCACAAGACAATCCCTTCCCCAGTGTACATCCTGTCATATTTATTGGTCACCATGTGGTCTGCTTTTCCCAACGCTATCCTGCAGTTCACTGGATCTGTCTCAGAGGTCCCAGGAAGCTTGTCTCTCTGTCACTGCCTGCCTTGTTGCCCCCCCATTGTAATCTCTCTGATCTCTCTCATGTCTTCTCCCTTCCTTCTTTCCTAGTTCAGATAGTGTCTCTTTTCCCTTTTGAGCCCTCAACATCTATACATTGCTTACTATTTTAGTGCCTCGGTTTCCCTGTCAATAAAACGGTGGTAATCACAATAATTACCCTGTTTCAGAGTATTTCAGTGAGACTGGAAGCTGATGATACATGGAAAGATCTTAGGATAGAGTCTAGCTATACTAACACAACAAATGAATAACAAGTGACCCTGGATAGGGGGGAGGTTGGAATCCTACATTTCTGCCTCCTCTTCTTCCCCTTCCTTCAGGCTTCTGACATAGATTCCCAGGCTCCATGGGTACAATTTAGAAGTCTCTAATCTTTTTTTCATGCATATCGGATATTGTATGATGTTCAGGTTCATGTTTTGCTACCTTTTAAAAATGTATTGTCCCTGTGGTTTTACTTGCTTGTTAACTACAAGAAATGAACTTTTGAACAAATCAAATGCCACACACTTTGAGTGGATGAATGAAAGTCTCTTATGTTCTAATGCCTTGCAATTCTGATTGCAGATGGGCTTTGAGAAATTGTTCACCCATTGGCCAGGCTTCTACTCCTTGAGGTGTGACTACACCGCTGCATGCTTGTGATTACTGGTGGTAGAGTTGCCTCCTTGGGTGTCTGATTTCTTTGCTCAAATTTGTTGCTGTTTCTGTCTGTTATACATGGGAGACTTCAGAGAAGATCTGTCCACAGATTAGCTCAGACCTCTCTCTACTCTGGGACCAGCACCTTCGGGATTCCTCCATGAAGTCCTTGGAGTCTTTAAGAGTTCCTGCCCTGTCACTTGGCCATAGGTGTGTAGTAATCTTCAGTCTTATGGGGTCACTGCAGGTGTCACTGAATGGAATCTAAGTCTCCCAGGATCCCCTAATTTTTATAGCAGCTTTTAAATAAAATGATCCCAATGGAAAGAGTCAGCCACACAGGTATATGCCTTCACAAATGGTGAACATACTAGCTTTGAGCAGGACACACACAGACAATTCACTTGGCATCTCTTTCCTCAGTAGTAAAAGGGTCCAAATTCACAAGGTGTGTTCCTCTTGGAGATTTGGGTTCCTCTAAAGTCTAGGTCATTTATCCCCTAAGACCAAATCCTCTCATCTGGATTGTATGAAAAACTATATTCTCTTTTAAACCTTTCAAACTCTATAGTTCTATGTATCAATGACTTCTTAGCTAAGAACATGAACTTAGTTATTGCACAACAGCATACTTAGTGCATTCCTCATTCTGGATGTGCTAAGAGACTCCTGGCTAAATGGGATTTTTTAAAGTATTTTCTTGACCCGTGGAAATGCAGAGTGACAAAAACCTTTAAGGGATTGTTGAATTAGCTCTTGTGTGTTTTCAAGGGATAGGATAGGATGGGAGAGGGAGGGAGGGAGAGAGAGAGAGAGAGAGAGAGAGAGAGAGAGAGAGAGAGAGAGAGAGAGAGAGAGAGAGAGAGAGAGAGAGAGAGAGAGAGAGAGAGCAAAACAAACCTGGGAAAGAAAAGAAATAAAAGACATGGGGTCCAGAGGGGCAGCTGGGGCCTCGGAGGAAAATAGAATCTTTGAATATATTCTTGCCAGAGACAAAAGCACAGGCTCATTTAAAAAACAAAGGAGGGCAGCTTTATTCTAAAGCCTGCTGTGCACCAAAAATAGGCACTTAGATTCAGTGCTCCACTCAGACTCAGATCCCCACACAGATTCCGTCCTCCATGCTTAGAGGAAGCAACTGAGCAAGGTGGAGAGGATTGCATTAGTGCACTTGCCTCGCTTTCTCCAGCCCACCTTAGCTCTCGCCCTCCCAGATAATTCCTCTGAGTAACACATTGGGAACCTTTAGCTCCCTGGTACTGGCAGTTTTAATGTGTCCATTGCCAGCAATGAATTTCATGCCAAGAAAACCCGACTCCTGGCGTGGAAGGATTAAACAGTCCTCGGGTGCCATCTGTGCAGCGAAGTGAGAGAGTGACTTCTGCACCCAATGTGCGTGTGTTGCCATTGGCAGGAGGAAGTGACTTCTATTTACATGACTACCTCATGCAGGAAACACCTAAGGGGAGAGATGAAAATGGCCACCACCGTGGGGGGTACAGTCAGGGGAAGCGTGGATTGGTGTGGGAAAGAGGAGCCTATAGAAAAGGCTGGAAAAAGAAACGTGAAGAGGCAGATTAAAACTGCCGTCCTACGTAGTATTATAGAGAGAGAGCTGGGGAAGAGAAATGTATGATGGGAATGTGTTCTCGGGAAGCCGGGCAGATGTCATGGCATCCTTTGCTGCCAGGGTTTGGACTTAACCCTGAGCCCCAGGCCTCAGTGGCTCTTCAGATGGGGGTGTTCTAAAAAAACGAAAGCTTTGGCTTCTTATCCACTGTTCTTCAGAGCCAGGCGTTAGGAACCTAGGCAGTAAACCTCTGTGTTTTCAGGGACTTTAAGTGCTTTGACATAACCAAGAAAACCCTCCTTCATGTTGGGTGGTAAAGAAGAAAAATTCAAGGTTTGCGTTTCATATAAGGACACTCAAGGAGTGAAATGTTGAAGACTTACAGTGTTGAGTAAGAGTATGGGGTGGGGGAGGGGAAAACCCAGTGCAGAAAAACTTCTGACCCAAGTAAACTGAAATGAGAGGGCATAGTCCCACAAAGAAAGTAGCACAATGCTTACACAGAGAGATGCTCCTTCAGAGATAGGATGGTTGACGTTTCCTAGTACATGGTAATTGGGGACAAATGACAATCCAGGTATAAGGGACCCATAGCAATGTCACAAAATGGCAGCTACAGAAGTACTGAATCTGCCCTCAAACCAGGCCAGTGTGTAAAGGAGGGTGACTACTTAGCTGAAGACCAAAGACTGGATTTGGCTGGGTACACAGAAGAGTGCCATTAAAGCAGTGTGTGTGTGTGTGTGTGTGTGTGTGTGTGTAAAATGTGCAAGCAGGGTGTAAAAGGTACACAGAAGAGTGCCATTAAAGCAGTGTGTGTGTGTGTGTGTGTGTGTGTAAAATGTGCAAGCAGGGTGTAAAAGGGATTGGACTGTGGGAAGACACAGCAAGAGTGTGCAAACCGGGCCACCGTCAGAAAGGGATCTAGGTCACTTGCCAGCAGCATTGAAGTTAGGAATGAAGCAAACAATGCCTGGAGTAGATTACAGGGTGGAGAGCAGAGTGGGAAGAATGGAGTATGTGATGTCAGATGAGACCTCTGGCAGAAATAGGAGAAGCCTGATTATGAGGCTTCTTTGGAGGTAAAGAGGTCCAGTGCGCCATTTTATTTTGCTGGACACTTTTCCAGTGTGTCTCAGAAACATATAAAAGTATGCAGGCACTAACACAAACATGTCCACCTGCACATACAAGCTTAATAATAAAGTTGAAAGTGGCAGGTAAGAGCAAATTATACATACATACACGCATATATATAAAACATACACACATACATACACAATATACACACACATATACACATATATACATACAACATATACACACATACATATATACATACAACATATACACACACATACATATATACATACGCATACACACATATGCACACACACACATCTTACAAAAGTAGAGACTTTGAATTCATTTTGTTTTGATCAGGTGGCTTCAGACTCCACAGTAATAATGATGGCATCTTACAAAAATGTACATACATTGCTCAGAGCAATGTGTTACTGTTAAGCCTTTGTATGAAGAGTCACAACACAGAGACAATTTCGTGTTGACATTATTCCTGTTTTTTTTCTTTCTTTCTTTTTAATTCATTCTCCCAGGGAAAAATTTGGACCTCTTTGGAGAATGGAAATGTCAGGGCTGATTTTCCTTGTTTACAAAAAGCTTTTATTTAGATGATAATTTTTTCCTTGACTAATATGGCCCACAGAGTCAGTAAAGTTTTGAGAGTGTCAACGTGGTGCTGTTTCCTACAGCTGCATCAGGGTGACATCCACATAGCCTTGCTGTGGCCTCCAGACTAGCAGTGGCAGCGAGTGATGGCTGCAGCCAGGTCATGTTTCAAATGCGGAGGCTTCTCTTGAGATCAAGCTGCCCACTGCTTCTCCCACCATTGCAAGCTATGTAGTAACTCATGGACAGGGCTCTTAAGGGCACTACTCAACTGCACCTGGCACCTCACCTGCTGCATGCAAATTCCGTGTTAAAAATCTACATAGTTGGCTATGAGTAAGAAAATTATAGGCATGCATTTACCTTTTCATTATCATAATATCATAAAAAATTTTTAATATCCTGCTAAAGGCTTAAAGAGTCTTCTGGGTCCTAAAAGAATATGTTGAATGTGACATGTTTTCTAAACTGAAATTTTTATAATTAAAGTAATTATCTGATTTTGCTTTGTATTTCCAAATGAATGCATATTGTGACCTATATAGCATATGATAACGACTGTAATTATGCAAAATATAGTAGGGGAAGCTATTGGAGAATCTCTAAACCACCTGTGTTATTTCTTTTTAACAAGATATTTGTTGGAAATAATATATTTTTCGTAAAATAGATACAATTAAGAAGTTCTTCAGCCATTTACACACAGTTATGAGATTAGCACAGCTCTTCGTCTCTTACCCTGTAATGGTCAAGGTTGTCTTCTGGAGTTGGGAGACCCATGTAGCGCTCTGTATACACTGAGTCTATGATGGGAAAAAAAGAAAAGAGGTTCAACTCCTCCAGTAACAATGTTTTTTAGCTCTATTGCATCACTTTACCTGTCCTCCTGTACCTTAACTCATGGAAGTATCTCCCCCCAGCCAACCCTTGCTAATGTGGCCTGAGATGCTGACGCCCAGATGACCCACTCTCACTCAGGACTTCCCTGTAGCACTGACCCATCATCTGCCCTCAACCTGCAGCACCAGGGCTGTGGGAGCCTGGAGTAGATAACCTAAAATACAGTCAGCAACTGACCTGCAGAAAAGTCAAAAGTGCAGAGACCTACTCAACGAAAGTCATCTATCTAGTGCCTTGGTTGTCTTGAAAGTTGTGGTACTACAATGTGAGGTGCACTCTCACCCTGAACTCTTGGGGAAGGGTCTAGGCCCTGCCTTATATGAAATGACAGACTATGGACACCCCCATGGAGGGCCTCACCCTCCCTGGGGGAATGAGGGGATAACGGGGGGGGGGGTTGGGGGGAGGGCACCGGAGGAGGGGAGGGAATGGGAGAGGAACCTGGAACTGACTTGTGAAGCAACCTCGTTTCTTATCTAAATTTAAACTGGAAAATAAAATATATTAAAAAAAAAGAAAGTTGTGGTACTGAGATAAACCCAAGCCTTTATGGTATGGTAATCTATCTCCCTTGGGGAATACCTAGCAATGATCAATCACTAGTGACTTAGTTAAACCTTATATTTTAGGCAGGTTGAGATGCACTATAATAAAAAGAATTTAAGTTAACAGTCCATATTGACACAGCTGCTTCATCATAATTCAAGTTAAACATTTGTTTTCCCTCACTTTATGGGGAGGTCTCAAGTTTTGTGCTGTAACACTTGAGCACTGTGAACAGATTACATTAATAACTGTCTGCTCAACTGACATAAGCTCTTTTATATATAAATATGGTGGAATAACAGGTTGCACAATTGGTTTGGTTATTTTGGGTAATTAAACATAATTTTACTCAATTAAAAAATTCTATATTATATATTTGCCCTAAAACATCACTAATGGAGTTTGCTGCATAAAAAGTTTCATGGTTGCTGTTTTTTAAGCATTAGTGTTTATTCATTATACAAAGTGGTGGGTTTAATAAAGATACAGCATTCAAGTACATCCTGTACTGTGCCTACATTGAGCCCATCACCCTCCTGTTCCCTTCCTCTTCAATGCTTGTCTCCTTGGTTTTCCCAGATAGTTACTCTTCTGCTTTCTAGCTATACGTATGTTCCTTTCTATTTCAATGTCAATTCTGAGTTCCACACATGTGCTATTTGGTTTCTTTTGCTTATATGATGTTTTAAATGCTGTCTCCTTAAATGGCTAGGTTGGAGTAAGTAAATGTAGAAATCATGTATTGCCTTTGTGCTTGACAGTCGCTGTCTTGAACAAGCATTTTGACATTAGTTTTATGAATTCTTTACATTCTTTTATTGCTTAAGTTCAACACTGTAACACTTCTGAATGACTGAGGCATAAATTGAAAACACCCTGATGAGTGTTTGCTTTTACCTCCCTTGCTTCCTAAATGAGTAACAGCAATATCTATTATTTTACTTAAAATGAATACAGACTACATATAACTTTACGTACGTAGAGAAGGCTCCTATAAAAATATAATATCTTAAAGGACATTTAAAATACAAGGCAATAAACTTTTCATGTATATTTTAATTTTAAAAAACCAAATATTAACAACTTAGCTTGTATATTTGGCAGGAGGACAGTGTCTCTGAGAGCAAAATGAAATTTTCCCCGAAATTCATTCTACAGCCTTCAATCTGTTTGTCTTAGAACATAATGCCACCTTCTTATCTATACTAACCATGTTTACATGAATATTAAGATCTGAAAATCTTACATATATATTTTTAAGAAATATACATAGCTACATAATTTAGTTGTGAAATCTTAGAACAATGTCTTAAAACACTACTTACATATTCCTTGTTTGCAATTTTGAATAAAATTGTGAAAATTTACACCTAAATCCTAAGCTCTTTTGTTACTGTGTATTAGGGCATCTACATTTAACGAATTTCTCTTACATGTCTGCAAGCTCTCAATGGCTACTTTATTATTTTATTGACCACCAGAGGTCTCCAGAAACAAATCATCCAACAGAACAATTGATTCCAAACAAAAGCATCACATGAGAACAACTCCATTGTATGCAGATTAATTGTAACTGCACCTGCCAAGTTTTTAACAGAAAGATAGTGATGTTTTGCAAATTTCCCTTGTCTTGGAGAGGCATTCAAGGAGGCATTTTCACAAAACTGGTACTACCATACAGTAGGATATGGCCATATTCTTTATAGACAATTATGTTCTCACACTACTACAAAAGAACTGCAGTGAGGTCAGAAATGCTGCATATCCTTGCCACCCCTTGGTGTTCATATCTGCTGAGTCTTGCCCTGGGCATTTTAGTCTCAGAAGAATGATGCTGTGTAGTCTATCTCATGATGAGGATGATACTCTAGTACTAAAAGACAGTGGGGAAGCAAAATCGTCCTAGAAATGCATCTGTTGCCGTCTTCTCTTCCTCTGACGCCCAACCCATATTTGATCTTCACTCAGAAGGGAAGAGATACACACTTCCTTTCCTCTATTAATATGTGAAGTCCCAAACAAAATTTGAATAAACATAAAGAAACATTTATTTGAGAAATGCAGCACGAAGCCTGTTTAAAATTTTTGGCAACAGTATTGTTGATAAAAAATTAAATGTGTAGGTAACACACAATAGCACTCTGGCTTTAATAACAGTAAAACGAGACCATTCTATACATCTCTGTAAAGAGCCACAGAAAGGAACCAGCTTATTATTTTCCAGAAACACAGAAAACTAAAAAAAGGAATGGCTTTTCTCGCTGGAATGTTAAGGTCAACGCTTAATAGTTATTTGCATATAACAGCAGTTACATACCATAGTACTCCCACCGTGACACGGGTGCCACAGCTATTCCGCACTTGAACACGCCACTTCCCGATCCCAGGACCATTGAGGTTACATACCCTCCATATGACTAGGGAATGGAAACAGTTATTTTTATGGAGGTAAAGGAATAAGGACATATGGTAAGCGAGTCGCGGTTTCCACATTTCTCACATCTTTATATACTGTGCCTCTTTAGAGATAGAAAGCATGGTATAGAAGGCTTAAATTGGCTTTAATTGGGCAGTATCTAAAGAATACACTTTGAGAATCCTGGTCCCTTTTCACAGAGATGAGAAAACAAGCATGGGGCATTAATGGACCCTGGTGCCATATATCCATACGAAAGAAAATGGTAAATAAAAACAATAAGCCACAAAACCTTTGCTGATTAATAAGCTTTCCCCATGCCTTCCTCTTCTCCTTTCTGTTTTTTCCTCTTCTGCCCACCCCCTTCCTCCCATTCCTGCTCTGTGCTCTTTAATCATAATGAACAGAGGTACATGTCTAGCTCAGTAGGCATTCCAGAAGCCTGCTGCTCTAAGGTCCCAATAGGTGACGGACAAGATTTTCATCTCCAAATATTTGCAAGAAAAAAATTGACCTGCACTGGGTTATATTCACTAAGGAGCGTGTACAAATCCATGAGTCAAACAAAGCAAAGCAAAATAAAGCAACAAACTACTCACCCAGCCCCAAATTGCAATCCGTTTGCTGTCCACAAATCCCATTTTTAAAAATTGTCTAAAACACATGAAACAAGTTCACAAATCAGTTTTCTGCTGTGTATAGAAAACTAAGCTAACTGCACAATTGTGAAGGCCAGACACTTGTTATCTCTTTCGTTCTATCACAGACTAAGAGGAGCCAGTGCCAGCAATCAAAAACACCTGAGATAAGTGTCTACCATGCCAACATGAGAACTACAAGAACAAGATTTGAGTTTATTTGAGTCCATAAAATTCTCTCTCTCTCTCTCTCTGTGTGTGTGTGTGTGTGTGTGTGTGTGTGTGTGTGTGTGTGTGTGTGTGTGTGTGTGCATGATTCACAGAAAACAAATCCTGGCAGTTTTTTTCACAGCTTTATATAAAAATTTGCAGCCCAGATGCACTTTTCTTTACATAATTGAATTTAAAACTCTCCAGATGTTTTTCAGTTTGAAAGTGGTTACCCTCTACAATAGAAAAACACAAGGGCACAAAGAACAGCTGAGTGGGGCGTAGAGTAGCCTCTGGACTCTTACCTGAGAATTCAAATACTAACATCTAAATCAAATCCGGTACTGGGTGTTGATCTGCTAGCTAGGCACCATTAAAAGAAAGTATATTTTCTTTGAGGGATTAAGGAATATCTTTGTCACCAAACTGTGTCAGGAGTTAAAATACAGGTTTATAAAACATTAACTTTTGTTTTATACACCTCTGTCCTAATCTTATCCTTAAACCAAAAGTCTTTTTTTTTATTTTAGGAAGTTAGCAAATAGGATGTACAATTTTGTGGTATTATGGGACATGTGGAGGTCTTTGCATTGATGGACAGTTGACTCTGTTTTCAATTGGTGATACATGTCCAAGGCTGCAAAGTCGTGGTACCAGAACAAATTAAGAGCACTTTTCAACTCTCCTCCATGTCAATCAGTCCCTCTCCATGCAGAGGATCTATCGACAGGGGCTGAGTCATGACTGCACAGGGTGACACACCTTTACAAAGAAGACCAGTGAATGCTCTCACAAGGCTCCTGGTCATTTTCCTGTCTGAGAAGGGACAATAAACAGAAATGTTTCTTTTTGCTGCATTCCATAAAAATCCCCTTGAGTTTGTATGTGATTTTGAACTTCATATGAACACTGGTATCTGGCTTCTTCCATTCAGCATTATTTTGAGATTCACTTGTGTTGCTGGATTTATCTCCTTTCAGTTGCTGTAACAGTGTTCCATTGTATAGGTAATGCTGCCTGTCATTATTGTCTTAATGTTTTGTTTTGCAAATATTGAATTCAGTAATTTTAGCACTTTTAGAACCCAGATCCATGAGGTTATGGAAACCATGAGCTCCTCTTGGAGAGAGATAACCAGTCTTGATAGATAAAAAATTCTTTTTACAACAGGGGAACCTCTAATTCATCCTTTCTTTAATCTCAAATTTCTTTTACATTAAAGACAATGGTCAGCAATTAACTTTGGCATAAGGGAATTTCATTCACTTGGAAATACTGAACTAACATCTTTTTTTACTTCGACTAATTTTCCTTAAAGGTATTTTTCCCAATACACTGATCATCCATGGATCATTCTGCATTTCTCAGTCTGTAATTTTACAACACTGTCTCAAACCACCCAGTTGTTAGACTTCTCCAAACACCTATGCAAATGGCTGGGAAGCCAAAGGTTACATATCCAATTTACCAGCTGGATGTAGTGGAGCAGAAAAGCTGGAATGGACTGGATTCCAAGCCTACTTTACACTCTGTGTCTTCCCTTGAAATACACGATAAGAATATCCACCTCCCAGGTCTGCTCCACAGCTTAAGTCATGTGCCTACCATGGTATGCTCCTCTCTTTTAATCCAAAGTGAGTCAGTTTATATTTCTTTTTAAGAAGGCAAGAGTAAGATGGTGTTCATACTTAATGAAGCCCTTATCATTTCAATTCGTGACAGTTGTACCCTACAACTTTCCAAAAATAGAAGTCACCCATATCCAGGCTGTAGGAGCTATTTTTGGGGCTTCAGAGTTATGACTTCCTCCACAGTGAATGCACACTCAACTTCTCTATCAGTTTTCACTATAAGGGATGAGCTCAACTATTTAGTCAGATGTTCACCTAGTGTGATGACTAAATTAATTTTCAATTTGATTGTACAGAGCTTGTGCCTATGGGGAAATGACCAAAAGAGGAAGACTCACACTGAATGCAGACAAGATCTTCCCATCACCTAGGGCCCAGAAGGAAAACAAAACAAAAAACAAATAAAAAAAAAACACCAAGAAGAGAAAGCTCTCTGCTGTACCATGAAGCAAGTAGATCACCATGAGTTTTGCTGCCATGATTTTCTACCTCACCATGTGCCCAGAAGCAACAGAGCCAAGGACTATAAGCAGAAATCTCTGAAATCACGGTTAAGAGTAACAATTCCTCCTTCTAAGTTGTTTAGTCATGTATTTATAATTGCAGTGAAAAAAAATCTCACTGGCATTGAATATTGGCACCAAGACGTAGATAGGGTCATTGCTGTGACCTATCAAATTTCATACTACAGAAACCTTTGGAACTAGTTTGGAAGAGAAATTTATAAAAGTGGTTTGAAAGAGTCAGCTAGAATGAGGTTAGCAGAGGCTAATGAGAGATTGTGGTGGGGGACTTGGAAAATCAGCATGTGGGTATGAATGCAGGCAGCAAACAGTGCTCTTTAGGAGTCAAATGGGAAAAGGGGATTTGATTAAGAATTGCACCAAAGGTTTATCTGTAGTCAAGGACTTGTCTACCTTTGGTCCATGCCCTAAGACTTTGTGGGAGGCTGGGTTTAATGATGAAAGACTAGTTTATTTGGGGGAGGAAATTTCAGGACTGCCTAGCATTCAGTGTGTGGCATGATAATTGCTGGCTACAATTATAAGGTGAGAATTGTCAGTAAAATATACAGAAGAAAGGGTGTAGTTGGTCCCTAACCAATCAAGCTAAGGACAGTGGATTGAAATCTCTCAAACCACAATTGCAAATGAATCCTCCCTCTTGTTTCTTCAAGTTCCTTTTGCCAGACATTTTATCACAGCTACTGAAAGTCTGACTGACAAGATACACTCATCCCTCAGTTTACCAGTGTGTTCCATCACCAGTCTCCACTCTGAGATGACAGTAGTGTGTGTGCCAGCGCCCTCTTAATATAAGAAGAAACTTGGGAAATGCCTTCTTAAAACTTCATAGAAATCAACACGTTTTCACCTAAATGTATTACCTGTATCAAGAACCTACAAGAAAGAAGGACCACACATTCCCCCCCAAAAAAACCTTCACATTCTTCACATTTTGCAACTTATAAATAAACAAATAATAAATAAGTAAAGAGAACAGTAAATGCTGCTTGAGTTCATCTCTAGTTAGTTACCTGACTGCTTCAATTTGATCTTCAACTTCCAATGTTCCCAATCTTCTGTTGATTGCATGCATGATCTTATCTCCTTGGTAACCACTTCCTCTGCCATCAAAGCTAGCTACTATGATGTTTTCTGTACTTGCAAGGTAAGTGGCCCAATTGAGTCTGAAGGCGGCATCTGCTTTTTGACTACAGGGACCTGCATATCTGTGAAAAGTTCCGACTTGTAAGACTATTGTTTTCCCATGTTAAATAAAGAATACTTGCATCTTTCTTAATCGGGAGACTGGAAATCATTGTAACCATTGGTTTGTCAAGAATGGGCCCTTTATAGTGGAAAAATATTTATCCTTAGTGTACAAATGGACTTTGGGAACCCATTCCACATAGAGAAATTCTCAGTCTAGACATTTGAGGCAGGGCCTAGGCCCTGCTCCAAATTATATGGCAGGCTTTAAAGATCCCCCATGGAAAGCCTCACCCAGAAAGGGGATGGGATGGGGGTCTGTTGGGGACCAGGGAGGAGGAAAGGGAGAAGGAACTGGAATTGGCATGTAAAACAAGATTGTTTCTAATTTAAAATTTAAAACTATAGAAGAAAAAAGAAAGGAAGGAAGGAAGGAAGGAAGGAAGGAAGGAAGGAAGGAAGGAAAAGAATGGGCCCTTTAAATTTGACAACATTATGGCTGTATGTTTCCTTTAAATTCATCCCAAAGATTTGTAGTTGAATATTTTTGTCAAATACATTCTACATTTTAAGTACTGTTTAATCTTAGAAATAGAAGTAATTCATCCAATAGTGGAGGTAGGAGAAATTGTCTTATAAAAACAATGACAATTTGTGTAGCTTTACATCTCCGTTCAGAAACACTCCTGACCTATACATGTAGGGGTTGTATAGAGTAGGTTCAGAAATACTCCTAGTCTATACATGTAGGGGTTGTATAGACTAGGTTGGGGTTTTTCTTAAGGACTCACATGCTTTCATTTCTCTAGGGATCTTGCATGCTATTGCTCACACGGAGACTAAATCATGGTAGAAAGGACCAGAACATGAAGGAATGCTAGTACTAAAGACTTTAAGGATAAAGAAATATAAACTTGAAATAGGTGTACTATTCAGTACGACAAGAGTTTTAACATCCTGTATTTGCAATCTTTACAATCTAGAACTTGCCACACATGCAGCCGTGTGGCAAGTTCTAGACTGTATCGACTCCTTTGGTGTACAAGAGATGACACCTATAGCTCATTGCGTTGTATTTCAATGGTATCTCTGCACAGTCTACAAGACTCCTGGGTAAATACAGTTCTTCTCTAATAATAACTCCCTCCGAATTCATCTGTCTCCTACTCATTGGCTGCCTCAACCCCACAAACAACAGGCAAGTCCTGCAGGCATGCCTCTCTCTACCAACGTGTTCTTGCCTCTTCATGGAGATGAAAGTTAAAAGAATTTTCATTTCAACAAAATATCACATTATTTTAATTTTAAACTAGATGATGAAGCATTCTAAATTTAAACGTATTCATGCATTCAGATATGAGTAAACATTTTTTATAACATGAAATTCCTTGGCCCCGTCAATGACAGAAAATTTGGTAGATTGAAAGTGCCCTTCTCTAGCTTGCTAAGATGTCCCAGAGGAAGGACGGAGGTGAGGATTTGGAGATGCCAGTGAGACTCCCTTAAACTTCTGGGAAGGAAAGCAAACCACATGATTATGACAGAGAGAAGTGTCTATCTTATCCATTAAGTCAGGAGGAAGCAGAGGATGGGATTTGTGAGCACAAAATGAGAGGAGGAAACAGTGCTCGGTGATGCAGGAAGGAAGAGACATGCAGGAAGGCTGGATATTTCATCAATCTGTACCCACCGAGAGGTACGGCAGTTAGCGGCTAAATTACTGAATACCTGAATACTTACACTTCTAAGAGTAGAGGATATTTCTTGGATTTGTCAAAATGGGGAGGCAAGATCATTTGATACCAAAATCCTAAACAAACAGAAAGATTAATTAGCATGTTAAAAATAATTAATGGTGTGAGATTTTACTCCTTCTTTCTTGGTAATGTGTCTAGAGTTTAACCATTTGTAAAATTGGATAGAAAAGGGAAAGGACCAGCTCAGGTGTGTGTTTTTAAGATATAAACTCTCTGTTTGGTTCATCAGTGCTAGTTATTTTCGTGGTAAAATGATTAAGTTATTTCTAATACAGCCATGAAATACATCAGTGCCTTGTAAAATGCAAGCGCGTTTAGGATTCCTAATGTTTTGTTTCTGTGCTTCTGTTCTTTGGCATCTTCTCTACTTATCTAGCTTGTTTATGTTCTAAATTTTCCTCCCAAATGTTTTCCTCTTCTTGAATTTCCTTGAAGCTGTTTAGAATCTGTAGTGGGCCATAACTCCCTTTTAAAATTCTGATTTAATAGCGTTTTTATAATTCCTATTGCCATCCCAGACCGCAAAGCAGAGCCCCATTTTCAGCACAGTCTTTCCCAGAATGAAGACGGCTTCTGTGGAACAAACTGCTTTCACAGTCTGCATGCTCTTCCCTGGGTTCTTCCAAACACCTGCGCTTGAGAGAACGTATCTCCAAATAATGAACCCGTTTTCTTTGCCCTCAAAATAAATGAGTCTAATAAATCCTAATAGAATTCTACATATTCAGGAAGATTTAAACAACAAGCTCAAAATAATTCTCATCTCTAGCAGTGTTTCTTACATTTAATTTTCTTTTTGTTTCTTAGTTGATTTTAGAATGATTTTGGTTAAGGAGAAAAGAAAGATTCAGTAGTCCAGTATTTATATAGGTAGGCTTATCTCCAATTTATACTTTACTAATTATGTTTGTGCTATTTATTCAATGCGTTAGTAAAAAGAAAAGTTTTTAATTTTCTATTGTAATTTTAATCAAATATCAGACTATTAGTCAAGCTGACTGATATTTTCAATGCACATACCCATCACTATTCAGTCTCTATTTTGTCCGGCCAGCACTAGTTGGTGAGTGGGTTTTTTTTTTTTTTAGCTCCATCTTTTTGTAAATTGCAGTTTTTCTACGAGGAGGAGTTCTTTCTGGTCTCAGGAGCTCACCTCCCTGTTCTCTTTTCTTAGGCCTCATCTCAGTCTCTCTTTCCCGCAGTGCAAATGACTAGAGCCTAAATCGACCTCCCTCCCCTGTTCTGCCAGTGCCCTCCGACAATCCCTGTGAAAACTTCCCTCTAACCATGTGTCCTTGCTGGCCCTAAACCCCTAAGGACTCCCCGCTGTGTTGCCCACAGAAATAGAATCACATCTCCATATTCATTGCAGAACCCAGCACCAGGCTGTCAAAAAGAGCTCTTTACATTCAAGACGTCTCTGGGACAGGGAGCAGTGGCCCCCTGCTGGGTCAGAAGGCTCCTGTTAGCAAGGGCCCTGGTGACTCACAGGCGCATTCACTTTGAGCAGCATGCTAAGTTATTCTGCAGAGGAGGCTCTCCTTTCCAGGGCCTGTCCTACTGTTTGCAGATGACAGGAGTTGAACAATATTTTTCATCTCCTCTTTAAAAATATTTTATTTTTATTCGCTTAAGTTATGTGTCTTCGAGTGTGGGTGTGTGCAAGTAAGGGTTGGTGCCCTGGGAATCCAGAAGAGGATGTTGGAGTTCCTGGAGTCCGAGTGTCACTTGTGGCTTGCACAGCACTGGATGTGGGTGCTGGGAACTGAACTCAGGTGCCCTGCAGAAGTGGTGCCTGCTCCCAACCGCGGAGCCATCCCTTCAGTTCCCTATTTCCCATTATGTCAGATTTAAAAAATGAAACTCTATCAATTGTGATTTATTTTTTTCCTTTCCCATAAGTTATTGTCTCTTAGTGGGAAAAGAAACTGAATAGAAACAAGCATTTCGAACTCAAATAAACCTATTGTTTGTTTGTTTGCTTGCTTGCTTGCTTGCTTCAACAATGGTCCCTTGAGTGTAATCCATACTCACACCCCATCCAGTCCTGAGCTAACTAGGAAACAGAAAGAGAACAGAAACAATTACCCAACATCCCCCGCAACAACAACAACAACAACAAAAACCCTGAAGTTTAAGCACTTTAGAAATGACCTCAAATTTTATCATAGTCATCTTTGGTATTTTCAAACTGTATGGGTAAAGGATAAAATGTACCAGGTGTGATTTCACTTAGGCATTTTGTCTTTATAATCAATGCTCACTAGGAGAGGAGACACACTGACTGGATGAACTGACCCATCACTACTGCATTTTCTCCAAGGGCTCACTTGACAGAACAAATTTTTTGTAGAGTCCTATTTTAAAACATGCAAAAAAAGCAAAAGCGGTAATTCTTGTGATAGTGTTTCATGGGGAAAAAATAACCCTTTAAATTAGGTTTATACAACAAAAAGCACTTGATTCAGACAAAATTGTCACATTATTTACATTTTACTGTTATTTCCATGAGAAACATGATTCCAAAAGAAATTTAACTTACTTGTTTCATTCAAAACAATGAAGTCCAATACTTTTGAAGGCATTTGGATATCCTGCAGCATTTTATCCAAAGCAGAATTGTCTTCCAGGACTAGCAGCTCTAAACAAATATATGAGACAGCAATAACTCATAACAGTGCAAAGAATTTAGACCACATGCTGCAATAGTGAGCAAGTGTGCAGGGTAGCACCTGGGCTGTGCACACTTCAGGTTGGAAGGCTTGTGTTCAAGTCAATGTTGAGAACTAAAGCCAAGGGAAAATCTCAGGTTGGTCCTACTGACACGTGCTTTCCTACAAGCCAGTGGAAGGTGAAATATAGCAAAATACCTTTATGATCGGTGCTGCGATGCAGAGTATAGAGGGGCAGACCAGGGCCTGTGAATGGAATCAGTAAAAAAAAATATGTTTTAGATGAGTATAGCATGCATGCATGGGCTTTCAAACATACCCTCTGTTACTGTCTGACAGAACATGAAAGAGCTGTTGCAATAGATAAGAAGCTTAGCTGTTTCCTCCTCATCCCCACTCTTTTTTCCTTAAATATAACTGTAATCAAGAGAAGGAAAGACACAGGTCTGAGTAAAGAGGAGAGGAGACGGAACTCTGTCCTACTGGACGTCTTGGGCAGGTTACCCATGCCCAGTTTTCTCATCAGTCAGCTGAAATGACAAATTAACCTTCTCCACTCTCTCTCTCTGTCGCCCCACACTGACCATACCACCTCTCAAGCCCTGAACTCCTTGGACGGTGAGTGGGCAGAGCTCTGCAGCCAGCTTCCCCCAGAGGAGTCGCCTGTCACCCCGTCATGGGCCCCATTCAGGAGGGTCGGGGAGCCAGGCTGCACACCTGCAGCGACTGACTTGGATAGGCAGCTTCTTTCTGGCATGCAAAAGTGTTTTTCTCACAAGCCTGTATCTTGAGTATTTATCCCAACTGTGGTAGTTGTGGAGTGGAAGGTAATGTATAGCAAGCTCTCTTGTGAGCTATTTGATTTTGATGCATTTTGATGATAGATTCAATTTTTGTATTTGCTGGGGGGAAAAGCACAGTGAAGGTACCGCCTGACCTGGGTTTGAATCCTGGCTGACTCTGCTGGATGAGTTAGGCCAGTGTGTCTACATGCCAATATCCCTTCATATAAAGTGAGGATAACGTGTACTTTTAAAAGATTTATTAAGGTTTAGATAAGATCGTAAATATTAAGCTATTAGGACAGTCCCTAACATAAAGTACATACCCAAGAAATGATGGCAAAAGCAGCCATCGTAAAGACTACTAAAGAAATGCATCATCACAAACAAAATACACCAGGGAAGAAAAACATAAGTAGTTTGAAGCCCTCTTTTGCCATTGGCTTTCTTTCTAGAATATCTAGATTCTTTCTCTCATTTTGAGAAGCAGCCTTGTACAGCATTAGAAGGAAGGACTCAGGGGAATTCTGTTAGAATGCTTTGAATGCCCTGTGTGACTCGAATCTGCCATTGTTTCTTCCCCTACCCAGGCTTCTTGACTTGTAATCAATACTAACAGTAGCAATCTCAGCAGAGGACAGAGCAGTAAGTGCTCTGGGTGACAGGCGCCACTCACAGTTCCTTATTACTGTAAGGGGCAAAATGCATAAAATAATCATTTAAAACCTATGGCATGTGGGTGGGTAAGAACACACTCAGAGGGAAGAAAAGGAAGTGTGTTCACATCACCTGGTATGACTGGGTAGAAAAGGACTGAGGTGTCTTTGAGGGCTCCTAGGTTTGCAAAGGCAAAAGAGCTGAGCAGAGAAGAAAAAGTAGGTCCTAGGAGGAAGCCCTGAGGACTAACTCCCTCAGGGTGATGGGGACGGGAGCTCCCATAGGCCAATCATCTGCTTTTCCTCACAGCCAGTGCAAACTTACCCGAACATCTCAGCTGGTAGTACTTTGCCTCTCTGCTAAACGACACTGAATAATACTGACATCTTTCCGGATACAGGTCACAGCTAAGGCACTTGACATTTGTGTGGTCAGAAAGTTGAATTCTGTAAAACCAACAGTGGTGATTAATTGCTTCATCACAGGCTATGCAAAAGGAAGAAGCTTAATGATGCCATGCTCTGGTTTCACTGGGATCAGACTGCCAAAGCGACACTCCAGATTCTTTCCCTTTGTCAAAAAAGACATGTACTGGTTCATAATAATCTCAGTCCCCCATTTTTAGGAAATGGCAGTAAACACCTAAAAAATTCATTGTTTTGTTTATATATGACTGATAAGTGCAGAAATAGAAGGATTATAACAATTCCAGAATTCCAGTGTAATATTAATTAGGAAAAGATAGAAGAGAGAGAGAGAGAGAGAGAGAGAGAGAGAGAGAGAGAGAGAGAGAGAGAGAGAGAATAAGCGAACGAGCAGGAAGAATCTGTCAACATCCCAACAGCACTCTTACTTATAAAGATTTCTTCCTCCTGGCTTTCCTTTATGTTCGTTACTAATGTAGTATCTGGGAAGAAAACAAAGGCAATATAGAGTAAGCACGTTTTATGAAAATGTTAACTACATCCCCCATCACCGACCCCAGGCACACAGGCACACACAGCTGTACCACGTGAGTACGTGCCCTCTGTCTACACCTGCTGCTAGGCTCCTCCATCCCACCCCAGAAGCTACCTCCCCCCATCATTTCTACCCAGGACATTTTTTAATGTAGGAATCCAGGGAGTTCTTCCTGGATTGAAGTGGTAAGTAAAACCTCAATAGAGGGCTTTTATATGGAAACTATGTCTGAGCAGCTAACTTGAAATAGACAACCCCCCCACCCCAAGTACCAATCCTGTTTTCTGTCTTCTGCCTTATGACACACATTGCATGGATGTAGGGGACCCAGAGAGCCCCTTCTGTGAAGTCTTCAGAGACTACTCTGGGCAATGGTGAATTCCCCTATGATGAGGCCAATAAAGGAAGAGCCAAGATCCCAATGGAAAGTAACATGCCTTTTGCTGACAGCTCATGTGTGCTATTAGTAGGCGCATACAGCAAAGCTCTCCATGTTCCAAAGAGCAAGGCCGAACACCAGCAGATAAAATTGCCTTTCTCAGCCTTTCAAAGAGTCCATGCAAGTCTGAAGTTAACAGAAGGCCAGAATGGCCCCTGAAGCAGTCCAGGATGTTCCACAGAGACTGCAGCCTCTCCAGTCCAAAGCAGGTAAGACCAAGAGGTAGAACCGCTTGGTGGCATGGTATCAAGTCTGCTGAGCATATGTGAAAATCATTAAGGCTTCCGTATGTTAAAAGGGAAAAAAAAACGGATTGAACACATTCCAAATCAACTACTCTTTGTGGGAGATTTTCCTGCATTTCTGTGAGAGAGGGTGTGATTATAACGTGCGGGTTTACAGCCTACTTACTGATCATTAGAGTATACTCACAGATACTCGCTGGTCAGCGCTTCAATCCCAATGACTTCCCAGGCTCCTTTTGTAATAAATGTACAGTTCTGATTGGGATTTCAAATGTGAGATTTATTAGACTCGCCTGTCAAAGTTAAGTGGAGTTATTTATATCAGGAATTCAAATAACCGTGAGGTTGCTCTGGGGACATCAGTGTCCTCTCCCTTCGTCCCATGTACCACTGAGGAATTAGATTTAGTCTATTTGCACACGTTGCTCAATGCCACCAGTGACTTCTGTTTTGGTTAGGAAAGGAGGTCAGCTTCGGGTCTGCTGCATAAGCATACTCACTTTCTGATCTTTGGGGAAGTGGCAGATGTGTCTGTAGCCATCTTTGTCGCTCATGATCTTGTAGAAACTGCTACCATCAGTGGTGAAGTGGGGCTCTGCAGGCCTAAACTAGACAACGACAGAGGAGAGAAATGTCACAGCGCCAATCTCATCTCAGACCAACTCCAGTTTTCGGAAGTCCTCTCCAATACCTGTGTTTTACTAGAGGGTCTGAAAAGGAAAAGTCTCCCTAACTAGAAAACAGTCAGCAGAGAACAAACTCATAGGCTAACTTTGTGGGGGGGCACGTGTGAGGATGTGCCTACAGATGCCCAAGGAGGATACAGGATACACAGAAATGTTTCCATTGTTCTGGGACATTTCTTGGGAGAAGGATAGTGGAGACTTCCAGCCATGTGGGTGTGCGAGCTAGCATTCACTTTTGATGTCATAAGCACACTTTCTAGGAAGCAACTTATTATCTAACTTCAGGTTGGAAGTGCCTTGTAGTATGGGAAAACTTTCATCCCTGCTTTTACAGTTTAATTTTTGTTTGTTTGTTTTGTGTTTTAGTCAGGCACAGTCTTTAACCACTTCTGGACTAGATGACACTGGGCATATCTGTCGTAGATTTCCCGTGGAAGCATTCACACAGTTATTTTTATCCTAAGACGTTTCATTTTGCTGAAGATGATCAATAATTTACAAAAAGGAAAAAAAAGTGGTTACATGGAAATATAGAACAAAATTTTCATTAAAAAAAAAGAGTTCAATAAAAGATAGCTCTCGGAAAATGATGTTTAAATAGAGGAGCGTCTCTTCCAGCCTGGAAGGACCATGTTTCGTTTTAATTTCTGGTTCGTAGTTACACTTTGAGCAGGTAGGGGATGGTCTTTTAAAATTGTTGGTTCTCTTCGCCCTTGATGTTTCCTCTCTCATCGGCTCCCATTTGGGGAAGGGAGGAAAGAGCTCGCCTCTTCTATTTAGTGATTCAAAGTGAATTCATTTATGAGGCAAGCTGAGGCGTGCAGTACACTTGGTGTTCCTATTGCAGAGCTCTCAAACACATTCCCCTCTCTAGACCTATGTTCACAGCCTTATCTTTTTAATACGTTTCCCTGTTTCCCCTGGATGGAGTTGTGCCTAGTAGAAATGTGTGAAAAGTGGCATCTGTCTGGTTAAATACAGAGAGGAAAAAACATATTTTTTTCAAAGAGTCGTGAGGAAGTGTAGCATGTCTCTTGCCATGGAGGAAACCACTTTTCATGTTGGCAAACCTCTCCCCTCTGCCCAATCAGCGCCTGGAGAGAAAGGACACGCGAATGTGGTGGCAGCTCTCAGCCCAGCAGAAAGGGGTCGTCTTCCTGGACTGAAGCCTCACCTCTCTCACCGCGGAGATGCGCGAAATGTTTATGATTTTTGTGTCACTTTGTTTCCCTTTTACAGAAGGATGAGTGCAAGTAGTCAGAGAAGCTAGATGCCATTCAGTTTTCATCTTTCATGCAAGGTGTCATGGTGGCTAGAATCCCTTCCCAGTAGCCCCATCCCCCCTCCTGGTACTTCCCCAATCCTGAGACTGTGCATGTACATGTAGGGTGGTGGGACTGACCAGAGTCGTGAGTTGCTGAGGGTCACCCTGCTCTTCCAGATAAAAAGCCCTTCCTCAGAGTGCCTACCAACATGGACACACACGGGGAGTGACTTCCCCCAGAGAGGGATGCAGTGCACACCGTAGGGTTGGCCAACTCACATCTCTATCAGTGACAATGTAGTGCCTTGGCATAGGACAGTTACACATTAACCAGCTCTGAACAGCAGCCGGGAAGCATAAAATCCATTACTCAGAACACTTACTCTTCCGACCCATCCCGTAGTGCTCATTTCAACATGCTGCTGTGCCTGGGGGAGAAAAAGGACAGGGTAGTGTTTCAAAGAGAAGATGACGAAATCCACTCCTTTATTTATTTATTTATTTATTTATTTATTTATTTATTTATTTATTTATTTATTTAGATGGTGTCTTGTGTATCTCAGGTTGGCCTCAAACAATATAGCCAAAGCCTTGAACTTCTGATCCTGTCTCAGCTTCCCAAGTGCTAGGATTGCACGGGTCCACAACTCTGCTCAGTTGTATTTAGTGCTGGGAATTGAACCAAGGCCTCTGGGCATGCTAATCCAGCAGTCTGCCAACTGAGCTACATCCCGAGCCCCACAAAATGCACTACAAATGAAATTACACTTAGGATAAAATAATTGAAAATAATCTCTCATCCTATAATTCTATTTATGTTAGGTTTTTTTTCATGTAATTGCATTTGATCATTTACCTCTGTTGCCCGGAGCTCTGACCTGGAGCTGCCCTGAATCTCCAGCTGGCATTTTAAATCCAACATGCACAGCCCTAGAGGATGTCCCTGGCTTTCCTCTAGCCCTCCAGCCTTTTTGTAGACCCTCTCTTTCTAGTTACTCAGTCTAGATGCTGACTCTTTCTGTCCTCTTCGCATGGGCACCTCCCTTAGCCCCTGTCCTCAGCTTTTCTGTCCTTCCCTACAGTTACTTCCATCATTTGTGTCTTTAGGATGTTCCCAGTGGTCTACTGCCACAGCCTCCTAATTGGATGTTTAGTCATCTTTTATTCCTTCTGGTCCATTCTCCTCCCTACTTAGCCCCTAGCTCATCTTATTTGGCAACAAACCACTCTGTTCCCATTATACTCTTCCTTATAGAATGCCGAAACAGCTTTCCATCCCTTACAGGATAAATCCAAACACCGTAGCATGGACTCTACACCCAAATCTAAATCTCTAGCCTCATTTCCATCCTGTTTGCCACCTTCAGCTTCAGTGGTAAATACATCCAGTCCCTCCGTGCTCAAAGCTGTTCACCACTGATGTCCTTGCACAACCCTCAGCTTCGATGGACCTTTCTCCCTTATCTGTCCACACAGGATATCTTATCCTTGCTGGCTGACTCTGCATCTTCCCCAAGACACTTCCTTGTCTTGCTCCACCTGACTCCAACACAGTATCTGCTATTACCCTCTGTATCTGTCCTAAACCCTCTTCTGGCCCAACACCCTGATATTGCGATGAGTCAATCAGTGGAAAGGGAAGAGCGTCAGCGTTGCAGTTTGAGTTCACGTATGTCCTGCGACTTAATGACGTAAGCATTTCTACCCTCGCTGAGGTTCCACTGTACCTGCCACATTGTGAATGTTCAAAGCACCGAGAGTCTTACGGCAGATCTTCAAGACCTCACTCCCTACCAGAACAAAAAACATTTTGGGGAAATGCAGGCTGCCTAACTAAATTTTTTTAAAAATCCCATAACTTAGCGATTAGGTGGGACATTTTAAGAAATGTTTCTTGCATAAACAAATGAGTGGGTCAAGATATGGAGCATCATTCAGGTTCTCAGGTGAGACTCGGCCCTGTGTGCATCTAAGATGAGATCATCAAGGAGTGTGTAACAGAGGGTTCAGGACCAGAATGGAAAAGGAGGCACAGAGCGGTCATGGCATATGCCTGCAAGACTTCAGCTCCTGCCTCTCCTGAGGCTGCTGGCTGCCAAGGGGGTTTTGCTGAAATCCTCAGCCAGAAGGACTTCAAGTTGTCCTGGCTGGGAACGACAGCTGGGTCAGCACTCAGTTCTCCTCAGCACTGCTATCCTCTTGGGCTGAGGGGTATTTAAGTTCTAAATCGGGTTTCTGCTTAGAGATGGTTACAGTCTACTGATGGATCTGTACCCTTCTGGCGTTCGTCTTATTTCCCACATGCTCAGCTAGCCATTTCCCATCCTCTGTATTTTATCTATTCAAATTTTGCCTGTAGGCTCTGGTCCTCTTCCTGATTTTGAACATGGACATCAAGTTCTATCTTCTGGGTGTCTAGTCACGCCTTCCTCCCCTTCCCAAGTGGTCATATCCACAACTAACACACCATTATTGTGTCTGATGGACAAGACTAACCAGCTGCCTCAGGGCTGGATATGGGCTCAGAGAGAAGAGAAACTGAAACATTTGCTGACCTCTAACCTTTACTATCTCTGAGGACATGGAACCCTCACATCACATGTCAGTCACACGCTGTTGGAAAAGTAGACCTTACCTTACCAGTGAGACCTTACCAAGGGACAGTTCCATGTCAGGTTAGTCTTGTTGTAGTCACAGATAGCCATCACAGAGTAGTTCTGAATCCTCCTGAGCCACTGTAAAGAAATCCTTTCTTCTGTAACCCATGCCACATCACACAAATAGTGATCCCTGACGAGAAAGAATGGGAGGGGGACTTTTCAGAAAGTGTGCAGCTAGGGAGATGGCCCAGGAGAGAAAGGGCTCGCCCTGCAAGCATATTTGAATTTCTGACCACCACAATCCAAGGAAAACCCAGGCAACTATGGCGGTCACTTGTAATCCCAGCGGCAGGGAGGCAGAGAGGCAGGGAAAGGGGATCCCTAGGTCAAGCTTCTAGATAGACAGGCCAGAATTGGCAAGTTCTGGGTTTGGTCAGAAACCCTGCTCAAGAAATAAGAGTAGAGAACAATCAAGAAAGATGCCCCCAGCCAACTTCAGGTTTCTATAGGCATGTGCCCACATACATGCAAGTACCAGCATGTACAACACACACACACACACACACACACACACACACACACACACACACACACACACACACACAGACTATGAGCTGAGCAGTGGTGGGGCACACCCTTAATCCCAGTACTCAGGCTGGAGGCCAGGACCTGCTCTACAGTGAGTTTCAAGACAGCCAAGGCTACATAGAGACCCCTGTCTTGGGAGAAAAAAAAAAGAAAGAAAAAAGCAATGTGAGTTTTTCCAGACCTTGTTGCAAATGAACATTTTCCTTAATAAAGTATACCCAACAAGGAAAACAGCAGACACAGCCTAAAATGGCTCAACACATGTGACTGAAACCATATGTTTAGAACTGTTGAGGACTGGGCCCCTGGTAGCGGAGAGTCAAAGGCGAGATTTTTCCATTTCCTCTTTGTTGCCTGAGAGTAACAGAGTGAGATCAGAGACACTGGCAGAGATGCTAGAATTTTCTGATAATTTAACATGCTCTCACTCCCCCCCACCCCCGCCATCAACCATCAATGGTGTTTGCCTGGAAAGCTGCTGTTGCTAATCAGTTCCACAGGCCTCCAAGAGCTTGTCAGAACACAGGGTCTGAGGGTGCTTCTCACCTCCTGAGAAGGAAGGAGCCAGGATCCCTAATCTAACCCAGCTCTTCGGCACCCACCCGATGCAGAGTTGTCAAATGAGCAGAAAAAGAGTTAACTCTTACCCAGGATGAGTAAAATATCCTTGCAAATAACAGGAAAGAATCAAAAATAAGACACGGAAAATGAAGTTTTTCAAAACTAATATTCTAGACCAAAGATTAAGAAACATTTAGTTGGGGCCCAGACAGTAGTCTTCGTGGTCTACATGTTGCTGTCACACAGCCACAGTATGGAAGCAGCCAGAGACAAGACTGACACTAACAGCAATGGTTGTGTCCCAGGACAAAGTTTCAGTTTCAATGTCATGAATTCTTCTTGGGACCGAAGTGTAAACACCATCCATAGCTGTGGACATGATGATGAGTGTCAGCTGGGATGGAGTGGAACCAGGGGTCCTTTCCTGCTAGTCCTCCCTGGTTCTATCCCGGTCATTCTTGCCCACTTAGATTAAACAATCAAACACAACAACAATAACAACAACAACAAACTCTTTGGAGGATGAAGAAGGCCATTTGTTGAGAAAGTTCAGAGGCAGCCTAAGCCACGAGGTAAGACCATGTCTCAGAAAACCAAAATCAGAAGAAAACACAAAGGGAGCCCTAAGGAGGATTTGAAGAGATGTGAGCCCATGCCTTAGGGAGAAAAAGCCTCTTTAGTCACATCCACATGCTGGCACCCGGGAATACTCTTCCTCTTGTTAAAAGTGTTCTGGTGGCAGAGAGGCAGACGAGGGCAAGAGAACTCTTTTGGTCCCTCGTCACCCATGGTAGGTAGCTTTATCTACGAAAACCACGCGTTATACTTTGGGTTTGAAAGTCCACACTGTGAAGCGACTTCTTGCCGTTTGAAAACACTGAGTAATGGAATGTGGGAGAGTAGCCAGGAATCCCGTGTGCATTGGCCACCTTCCCTGTCCATTTCTAGATAAAGGTTAATGGACTTGGATCTGATACTCAGTCACGGTCAGTGACCCAGAGTGTACTCTGCACTCTGAGAGGGCTCAGTGGAGGCCTTTTACCAAGGTAGTAGACAGTCTGTTTTATAAACATACTTCCCTCTAATTGGAGCCTTGAGCCAATATCATGCCAGGGTGAGACTTCAGAATCATGAAAAGGATGCAAACGGATGGATGGCGTAACTGAACCCTTGACTCAAAGTTTAAGTCCCCACTGTAATTATATGTATGTGTGTATAGATGCCAGCAGCAGGTTACCAACTAACTTTCGTAGGATAAGATGCTGACTGAGGACAAGGGCACACACTGAACAGATTTCCCCTCTTGTAGTGAGATGGAAATGCTGGGGGACCCCACACCTACTGCCGAGCTTGTGAGCCTGAGCTGCTTGTCCTAGATGAGGCAGAGTGACCCAACAACAGATTCAGTTTTAGCGATGCATTAGTCAGTCATAAAGGGAATTTGGTTGATTTTAATGTTGAAGCAATGAAGTAATTTCTGCAATTAACCCACATTAACTTGACTCTGTGCCAGGAGCTACCTGAATACTTTCCTTAACACTCATGGTCACTCTGTGAGGCAGGTAGCATTGTGGTTCCTGCCTACTAAGGGGGCAAATACAAGCACAGAGATGTTACATAGCTTTGTCAGAGTCACCCAGTCACAGGGTTTTGGAGCCACCATTCATATCAAGCAGAGAGCTTCCGGATTTCCCCAATCATACTTGCCCCTCCTGTAAACAGTCTGCCTGTCCCACTGGGAGGTTCTACTAGTCTGTTTCATGCATGGGATTCCTCGAGTGTGCAATTCCTTTCTCTATGAAATCTATTCCTTGAGAGTTATGTACAAGCTCAATTTTTATGAAGGAAGTCAGCTGGCTACACTCACAGCACCTACCTTTGAATACTCTGCTGTGGCAGCTCTTGTAAAGTGATTTCATGTCCTGGCAAAGAGGGGGCACTTCATTATAGGCTTCTAGGTGACATCTCTGCCTCTAACTTGTGTAGACGTCTCATTTGTACATTAATGATACTTGAGATAAGTTATGCTTTGCTAACTGGGAGGGATAATGGAGGGGGAAATGCTACCCAGAGCAACTGCAGACTGCAGAGTGATTAATTCAGTGAGTCACCAGAGGAAGCAGGCGTACTGCCCGTGCCGGCCGTGGGCTCCATGCCACCCTTTGCTCTGATTGGAATGCCAATTCTCCTGGGTCCACTGACAGATTGCTGAGAAGAGGGATGGGTGGGGCGAGGTGCAGCAGAGTCTCTCAGGAAACAGAGTTGTGTAGAACACAAGCCCTGATTGTCCACTTTCTTACAGGTGTCACTAGCTTGCTGGTTGGGGGAGGGCGAGATGTAACACCAGTCCGGTTTACCTTTTGCCTGGCAACCTCAGGTTTTGATGAGCCTAGTGTGCAGACCACATGCAGTGTTTTGAGAGAGAGAGAGACAGACAGACAGACAGACAGACAGAGAGACAGAGAGACAGAGAGGCAGAGAGAGACAGAGACAGACACAGAGAGTCTTTATCTACTGTGTCCCTTAGGACCAGGGAGAATGAGGGCAGAGTAAGTCATAAGCTGGGTGTGATGGGTCCCTGAGGCCATTCAGCAGATATTGGGAGGGGTCACCTCACTTGGCACACCCTCTCCAGTCCCGTAGGCTTTTTTTAAGCCTACAGAATTTGTAGATGGCTAGTTGAGGGAGAAAAGAGGGGCTTGGTACGTGGGATGATTTTGAAAGCTGTCCTTGGAGCTGGCTGTGTGAATTCTCTCCTGTGCCACACACAACGCTATCACCTGGAAAGCCCATCTCTCTTATTCATCCATGCATTCATCCACCAAGCCACCCATTCAGCCATCCAGCTCCTCATCTTTTCATTTACTCCACACACAGTATCTGACACTGTGTCCCAGTCACCCTACTAAGCCCCGGTTACTGTTGTCAAACTGGCCCTTAACCCACACACCTTGTCTCGCTTCCTTAGGCCCTGGAAACGCCACTATAAAAGAAAAGTTAGGAGTTTCACAGTATCTGTATCGTATCCTATTTCCTCTCAAATCTGTTGAGCTCCCAGATTCCCAGTATGTGTAGTCAATGCCCACCAGCACCTCCAGCCTCATCAGCTTCAAGCCTTAATCTATGAGGGGGTAGAGAGGCTCATCCTGTCTCATGCTCTAACTCCTGGTGGGTGTACAGACCAGCCTCATCCACTAATAGGACTTGCACTTGCTGGAGGCTCATGAGCAGAGGTGTGTAGCAACAGAAGACAGGTAAGGAGACCTGGCAGAGGAGGAGGAATGATGCTGATCTTGCCTGCTAGTGTACTCATGGCCCCAAAGAGTGCAGTGCTCACTAAGTGTGACTTCTCAGGATTGCCTTGGTCCTGAGGGGTCTTGCACTGAGACCAGGAAGTGCTATCTCATCAAGTGAGAGAACGTTTTCCCCAGGTGAACTTGGAGTCTCATTTTAGAAGAGCTACGATCTTACCAGTACCAACAGAGACCACAGCTAGATTTTAGATTCTCCATGCGACACTTGCCTGTGGCATTTCCTAAGACAATCCCGTGGTAGTAAGTAGGTATGTTCCACACACAACAGCCCCGGCCATTTTTCTTAGCAGGGAACACTCATTTTTGTCGTCTGTAAAATGACTGAGGATATAATACTGTAGCGTGCTGTGGGGGAATAAGCAAGATCACTAGCCCAGCCCTTGGAAAGTTCTCAAGACATTTAAATCTAATTGTTCAAATCATTTTGTTCTAGAAAGTGTCAGATCCCAAAGAAACCTGGGAAAAGTCTCACTCAGTACCTGTGGCTGCTCCAGGCACTTCAATCTGCCCCCTACCCTAAACCTCCCCAGCCCTTTCCCCAGCTTCTCTTCCCATACAGACCTGCCATTTTGGCCATGTGCTCTCTTGGACCTCTGCTCTTGGCCTCTTGGTCCACAGTTCCTCTCTAGGTTCACCCGTGCTCTCCTCTCTTCTCTCTCTCTTCTCTTCCTCTCTTCCCCCTCAACTGAGTCTGCTGGCCAAGCTCAACTGCTTCTTTCTCTCCCCTCTCTGGACCCCTCTAGATGCCTCTGGCTGTTTTCTCTCCCTCGTATCTACAATAAAATTCTTCTCCTCAACCACACATCAAAGTGGCCACGTCCTCATTTTCATTCAGTAAATAAAGGCCTCTGTTCCAACTCCCTTTTCCCATGCTAACTTGCTGTGTGACTTAAGCAAATGTGTTTCCTCTCTGTTTTCCTCTCTGTGACTCACAGCTCACTCTCAGTGGAGTTCTAACCGTTCTGTGGACCTCCCCAGGTCCTCTCTACTTTTTCAGGGACCTAGAGGAAGGAGTGGGGGGCAAGACAGGCTTATCCAACACAAGCAGCGATCTTCCATGGGTCCCTTTAGAAGTGTATCACAATATCTCATCTACACAAAGGCTCTCAGTTCCTTTATAGAAGTTCATAAACCACTTTTGAGGTCTACAGTTGGTTCTGAATGGAACTGTGTTCTGATCTGCAGCTCTCCACAGACAGGTATTAGTTACAGACTGCAGCAGGCACGTCTTGTCTATTCCTGGACAGCCGCATGCACTGCCATGCCTTCTGGTTTCCACCTCGGTGTCTTTCCCACCTCTGCCCTGCTGCAGTCCATTCCTTTAGCGCACACTCTGCAGGAAGCTTTCTTTGATCCCTCTGGTCATGGAGAACCCACCTCACCAACTTGAAATACGCCCAACCTGTTGCTCAAACCTCTGCCACTTCACTCTCCAAGTTATTTGTACAAAAGTGTGTTCTATCCTCTCTGATTAGAATTGCTAGAAGGACCTAGGCCCCCCTTTTACATTCTTAGGATTGCAGATTGTGATTTTCAATTAGTGTTGACTTAAGAGATTGATGAGTTGAACCTAGTGACAGATTTTAGAACATTTGGGCATAGTTTTATACCTTGGGAAAAAAACTTATGGGAAAAATTACTGGATTAAAAATTTTTACTGATAAGATTTCTTGCCTGGATAAACATGTTAATACTAGGAAATTCCCTAAGCACAGAGTACAACCTGCAGCCAACTTGATAGTGTCAACCCAAAAGAACAAGGTGCTTCCCCATCGTTCTGATAACATCTCTGGGTCCCTGAGGGCACCAGCTGTATTCACAGAGAAAGTTCCTCATAGGTTTCCTTTCCTATCCAGAAAGACAGACTGAATCGACCCTCCAAAGGTTAAGGTCTATTGTTTAACCTCTGGACCTCATGCTCTTATCTGTACAAAAGGCATGTCACAATAGCTGCTGGGAAGAGAGTTGCTTAAGACAACTTAAGGAGTAAGATAGAACATGTGTTAACACCCGTGTCGAGCACACAAGGAATACTCAGTGTGTGATAGTTGCTACTTAAACCACGTCAGCATAAATAATGGCCTTAAATAAAGGGCTATATAATAAATTATACCCACTCTGGCTCTTATAGGAAAAATTACTCAGGGCTTATAGTACTTGCTGGTAGGATTGCAAACATGATTTAAGTAAGTGACACCTTGAGGGATAATCAACTATAGGGATTCCCAAAAGTGACCCACAGTTTCTCTGAATTTCTTTAGGTCTGAATGAGGGTGTTCAGTCCTGTTTAAACGTTTTTAAATTACCATTGAGAGGCACCCATGAGCTTCTCTATAGTCATGTGTTGGTTACAGAACTGACAGGTCACAGGGGCACCACCAACCTGTTCATAGACAGCATATTGCCATGCCCAGAGACCCCTTGTGGTCTTTATCTTACACCACTCTCTGCTCTCCTCTCACTGGGTCCCATTCCTCCTTGCGGTGCCTCTAATATTCCATCACATCCATTATGAAGGGCTTTGGATCTCCTCTGCCAGTAGTAGTCCCACAGGATACTCCACGGAGCTCACCAGGCTCCATCACCCTTTGTCCACCTTGGCTTTCTTCACAATGTTTATCACTATCTGGCATTTTAGACTGATATCTGTTTGTCCATCTGGTATTGTCTGCCTCCTCCAATGACACCTGCCCTATTCTTTGTGTGTGACCATTATTAGAACTGGGCCTAGCCTGAAGACATGAAGAATTTCAACAGGAAGTTGTTGGATAAAAGAATGAATCAATGATGCAAGATGATGCTATGACTGATGCTGCCATATGTGTCTGAAATGCTCTACCTAGCAGGTGGGAAACTCTCTACACCCAAGGATTCAGGTGAAATGTCTTACCCTGTTAACACGGACTCAGGAGCAGTGACTTGGACGGGAGCAACACCAGTAGTTGAGTTGAGAGAGTCTGTATTTACAATAAAGAACTTTACAGTTGGATTCACAGCTCCTGCCTAGAAGAAAAAAAAGTCACAGAATCGATAATGATTTTTTAAAGCTTCATCATTACATAAATTTAAACCGCATTAAATGTCTGAATTATAGCTTTAGAGTTATAGCAATTGGACCCTGTCAAACAATTTAATAGAAATAAAATGAACATAAAGAAAACCCTTTATGTGTTCAGGTGAAAATATATATTCATGTGTACATGCATGTGTACATGTGTATGTTTATAAAACGTGACGGTCTAAACACTCATGATTAAATATCATACATGTTTATTCATAATCTGTGTGCTTTGTGCCAGGCGAGGACAAATGTCTTAAAAATCAATTGCATCATTTGCCAATATATCCTGATTCTATAGGACAAAAGTTTTGGTGGCTTAACTGTGAATATCACTTGTATACCATCAAAGGCTCAGTCCATCAGGAAAATTAGGCTGAGCCCAGAGCCAATTGTGCTAATTAAGCAGGCGTCAACTTCGCTCCAAGTCCAGGTTAATGTGTTAGAGCACAACAGTCAATATTATGACAGAAGCCTGTAAAACCTTTAAAAACGTACACAAGGATCTTTATTGACAGATTAGTTAGAAATAATATGATATTTTAGAGAATGTTTTATGGAGCTTTTTTCCCCCAGTTTCGCTCATCAAAAAATAACATTCTCTGAAAACACGTCTCCATATTTAGTTTGGGATCCTTTTTCCTTTTAACTTCCTCTCCCTTCCTAAAATGGCAGATCTTCATAAGGCAAATTAAGTGAGTTGGTAAAAATAAAAATTCCTTTTTTTTTTTTCCCGAATCATTTGCGGCAAAAATACGTTGTTAGCTTTTCCTGTAGACGACGCTGTGGCCGTTTTGATTATGGTGCTGAAGAATTCCTGGCTCCCTTCTGAAGCCCTCTCCCGGCTTACACTGCTTGACAAAGCTCCTTGATTTTAATGCACACATCGTGGTTAGCGGGGAACAATCTTGTAACCCAGGATGCTACACGACTATCACAAATGCAGGACGTGCAAAACTCACTTTAGTGCCAAACCTGTAACAGAGCCCCTGAAACTCATCCTGTACTGAACCCTGCTAGTTAGTAATGCAATCTGATATATAACCAGGCTTTTCAACTTCGATTCGGGCTCATTCCAACTTCTACAAATGAGATGAGCTTCTGATTCAATTACAGCCTCTCTTTTCCTTCATTCAAGCATTTCCTACCCCTCCCCTACCTCTTTCAAAAGCATTTTCACCATCTTTTTCTGCTTGTCATTTCTTAAAGTTTTTGGAGAAATTACAAAACCTTAAATCACACTCTTTCCTGGGATAATAAAAATACTTTAAAATTGCCAGATGCTGTTGACTTCAGCAAGAGAAATCACAGCAAGCTGTTGAAGAGAGACTGACAATATTTTCATTAGCAGGAAGGGATTAAATGCAACCATTCTCCTCCCATCAAATCTCAGAAACAGGACCCGAAAGGGGCGCAGACCTTTGGATATGGGATCCACACTGTCCTAGGGTACTGCAGTGACTCATCAGAGTAGAAGGAATATTCAATGTGTGGGACCCCTGTGTCGTTAAACTGGGCATATGCTAAAAAAGTGCTGTTTGGAGACCACCACAGTGCAGAGTAGGCACCGAAGACTTCCTCTGAAAAAAGACATAAATTGTTCTGTTACAAGAAAGCTGATAAATTGGCTTTGGCATTCAAAATATTATTCTCATTAGCTTTAGTAATTATAGTAGAGTTCAACTAATGAACCATTTCACATTTGCTGGGATTCCAAAATCAAAGTAATACAAATGAATAAAAATAAGACCTCCAAGGATATATCTAGGTTGTAAAAATAAGTCACCCATTGGACCATTTTAGAATATTTTAGTATGCAATATTGGATATGAGCTCTATATTTTTTCTTTATCTTATAATCCTCTAAATTTATGCCTCAAAACATACTAAAAGTAAATTTCACACAGGAGGCTGATTTTCCATTCTAATTTTCAAACAGTCAACACGCCAGCATGCTCTCCCTGACTGGGCTGAGTTTCTACTGAGTCCACGAGGTACTGGTGGGTGGTACGGAGCTCTAGGCTATCAAACCAATACGGTGCCCAGAGTTTACTACTCTGGCACAAATAAGGTGTGGGAAAGGATAGATTTAGAATGGAGAGAGCTCCACAGACCCCTACAGAGAAACAACTCTTTTGCCCAGCCTAGCAACTCCCTGCATTAGCACCCTCCCGTGATATATAGAGAAGAGGATAAAAGACAGAGGCAACTGAAGGCAAGGTACAGCTTTCAAGTAGATTGTTGGACTCACTTCAGTCTCTGACAAATGCAATTCCCCCCTGTGATTACTATGAGACCTATCCATGGGACATTTGGCCTCAGGCTATTAATGTGCCCAAGTCTCCCTCACCAACAGGGGATTGAAGATTCAGTTTCTTTGATGTGAATCTGTGTTACAAGTAGTGATTTCCAGCCCGTGGTGCTACTGGGAAGTGGTGATAACTTTGATAGCGGAATCCCCTTATAAGAAACTTAGATCATTGGGGTGTGACCATGGAAAGGATATTGGGATTTTGGGTCCTTCTCTCTTTGCTTCCTTACATCCATGGGGTAAAGAAACCCTTCTATTACACACTGCTATCAAGGTGTACTGTGCTGAGCCAGAAACAAAGCAATGTGGCCAGTGGCCAAGTGAACACGAACTGAGTCTCCGAAACCCTGAGTCAAAATGAACCTTTGCTCCTTTAAAGTGTTTTCTTGTGCATTTTGTTACATCAAAAGGAAATCGATAAACATGCAGGTAAACAGTGGAGAGCCCCAATCTACATCTCAGGTGACGATGTAAGTAAAAAACTCAAAGCATAGATTCTAGAATCTTAGGGTTAGGAAATTATGTCTTTGAATGACTAAAGCCTCTTCGCATGTGGCTGGGAAATACATTTATTCTTGTTTTAAATTATGCTTATGTGGGTTTTCATATACATGAGCTAAGGTAACTAAGGAGGCCAGAGGCGTTGGATCCTGAGAGAACTGGAGTTGCGGACAGTTGTTAGCTAACTGGTGTGGGTGCTGGGAATTGAACTGGGGTCCTTTGCAAAAGTCACACGAAAAACAATAAGTCATCTGTCCAGTCCTCCAAAAAGTACATTTTCATTAACAACAGTATGGCTGCAGAACTAAGAATAATAGCAGTAACGAAATGTAACAATTATCTTTATGAGTAGCTGATATTTGATGAGTGCCACGTGCCAGGAATTAATGATGGTCACATTTATTATACCACACACTCTTCATTATAACCCACTTTACAGGTGATGAGAACAAAACAGGGCTAAAAATAACTTAAAGAAATCATCTTAAGTCACGTGGATAAAAATTAGTAGAATCAAGAATTAACCTGTCAGGTTTGAGAGCATGCTGGCCATCTTCTATTATGCAGCTCAGACCTGTCTCGTTTTCAGTAGTTTTCATTTCAGAAAACCTAGACCTTGGTGTGGCAGCCTTCTCTCCCTCTAACGGTTTCAAAAGTGAACCAGCGCGTTATGTTTATGTAGTAGATTTGGAATTTATACACCACATCCAACTTGGTCTTCACAGATAATCCTAAATAAATCCATTCATAAACCATTTTATAGAGAGGGAAACTGAAGTCAATTAAGTGAACTGTTTTACCCAGCAACTAGAACTTGGGACTAGGACTCTAACTAAAAACTTTCCCCTTAGAAGTCCTTCATATGCTGAATTCATATCACATTACTTAGACCTTTACCTACTGAGTCTTGTCCACAACACAATGCAAGGCACTGTAATTAGGGTATGGCTCTGGTTTTTTAAATTACTTTCAAACACTGGAAGGGGTATAGTTGGGGCCACGTTTGAATTAGCACTTAATCTTAAGGCAGAGTATATTTTTCTCCAGTTAACAACATAGTGTGATTTCTCTCTAGGGGCTGAAGCCCCGTGTTTAGAGAAGGCCCCATGAAAGCTGTGAGGGTGTTGTCCTGCATCCTATGGATCAGATTACCCCAGACAGACAGCTGAGTTGGTTAGAGTCTTAGTAACACCCAGATGTTCCCAAGAAGAGCCACAGGTTAGGGAGGTGACTGTATCAGCTCCATGTTGGAGGCCCTAGAGGACGCTCAGTGCTGGACTGTCCACCACTTAAAGACCTTAAAAGTTCCTGGTGGGTTTTAATCAAACACTTACTTCTGGGCAATAGAAACCTATTGTTCTCTTGACATTATGCCTGCCCATTCAATTTACTTGATTCTGGCTGAGTGGGAATCACAAGAAAAGCTTGGAGCTGAACTGCTTTTTAACTTGGAAGAAGAAATAACAGGATGAAATAAGGATGAGTCTTCCCAGCAAATATTCACAAGCACCCTTGTGAATTTTGTAGAATGGCCTCAAAATGTCCTTTATCTTGGCAACCCATACACGGAAAATGCTTTCTTAATAGTTCCTAAATCTCCTTATCCTGAAAGACAGAACAGTCCCTTTTAAGTTTTCTTTTTAACTTTCCAAATTATTTTTGCTTTCTGTAAAAACAGGAAATCACAATTCCTCCCAGGTTAGTTTGAATGGACACAAATCCTTTCTAAAACAAGCAATTTCTTTCCTTCTGTTTGGCAACTGCAGACAGCAGTTATCTCTTTTTTAATATTGTGGAAGATTTTGCTTTCCTTCGAAACTTCTGGGCGAGGCAGGGCTCTTTGGAGAAGCATCTGATGTCAATCTGGATGTTGTTGTGCTCTGGTAAAGCCAGAAGAGCAACACAGAAAGGCCTTTTGTGGTAAGAAACTAAGACAAGCAGAGCATTGTGAGCCAATGGGGACTGAGGCAGCGCCAAGAACAGGTAGGGCTTCTGTGTCACTGTGAAGTCTAAAAGAGATTCCACAATAGGCTTAAGTACACAACTCAGTTTGGATCTTACTGAATGCTCCCAGTTTTTAGTACATCAACACTGAAGTAGTCTTAAAAGTTGTAGACTTTCTGATTAAAGATTTAGTCTCTACCTTCATAAACCCAGTCAGTTATCCCATTATATATTCCATCCTCTGTTCCTGTGAACGTGATCCTCTTACTAGGTAAATGTGGTTCGATTTTAACATAAATATCATTCTTCCAAACATATGCCTAAAAAGATGAAAAAAACATGTTGATGTCAGTAATCTCATTACAGCATGTTTTATCTGGGAATCTTAACATACTACTCAAATAAGAGAATAATCACAGAGAGTTTGTTTAAGTAGGAACCTCATTCTCAAATTACAGGTACACATTCCATAATCTTGAAATAATAATAAAAACTCCTAGTATGTTGAGATATTATGCTTGCAGCTGTCACTATGAGGATGGAGAACTGTCTGTAAAGACCTCGGACAACCTACACAAGATGATCTATGTTTGTGTTTCTTGCTTGCAACCTTAGAGGAGAGAATGTAGCTGTATTCTTAGAGAGGGAAGTGCAGCTACAGAAAAACATCCCATCTTGCTATTTAAATTATTTTGTGCTTCTAACATCATCTAGGACCGTAGAACAGGAGCTATACAGTGATTTTGAAGACAGACTCAAAATTACACAAGCACAGCACAAGGGGAATGAAAGAGTTTAATAAACATTGTTTGCTAATGAATAAGCAAATTCATAATAGATGTCTAGAACTCTTAATAATTCTATTTTGTTGGGCTAACAAAATATTGTTTGGGGCGATGACCATATATTTCTATTATAGTCAATGAATGGGCTTTCAAATGTCTACTTTATACTAGGGTGAGTAGCATCTGCCTATGAAAGATTGCAGCCAAGCTTTCTCTGACAGCAGGAGAAATGTACTAACCAATTTATGACCTTCTGGTGACCATGTGATCCACTGGGTGTTATTTGGAATCATCTGTTCTGTGATCACCTGCCTGGAGAAAAAGTAAGAGGATATATTACCAAATGAATAACTCCCTGTGAGATAACCTTTATAACTACATTAGGAAAGCCTAGTAGTCTTGATGGGGGAATCACTGACCTTTTATCCAAGTCATAAACCTTATACGAAGCTGTGTAGGAGTGCCTCCATTGCTGTAAAAGAAAACAGACCTCTCAGGTTTCTCTGATTCTAATAGGTTGACCATTTGTTCAAAATGACAGGAATGCTAACAGGTTACTGAATAAATTTCAAATATCATCACATATTATCATTCCTTAAATTCTTAGAATTTCAGAATAGAAAATATCCTTGAAATCATCTAGTACGAAGCAATGGAGAGTTTATTCATTTTTGTGTCACCTCCTCCAAGGACCTTCCACAGGATCTCTGTAGTCCAAAGCACCAGTTTTCATACTGAGTGATATTATTCTGAGAATAGTACAATAAGGGTAACTGTTTAAAACTCAAATTTTCACCTGTTGCCCACACCATTTCTAAAATATTTAGTTTTTTTTTTACTTTGTTGGTGGTGGAAATGAGGAGGCATACTTAAGGCTTTGTGCAATGATAATGAAAATATCTAGTGTTGTAATTTTTAAGCTATCTTGGAATATATATTTAAAGTAGATGCATATGTGTCTTCAATTTTAAGCAACCAAGCAGTTGAAAATGAAAAGCAAACTCAATCCAAGGTAGCTAAAAGAAAGGAAACAATACAGTAAAGACCAGTATGAAACAGAAAGCATATAGTGGTAAAAATCAACATGGTCAAATGTTTTATTCTTTAAGACAGTTAAAAATTTGATATAGAGGCCAGGTGTTGGTGGCAAATGCCTTTAATACCAGCACCTGGCAGGCAGAGAGAGGTGGAGAGAGGCAGACATATATTTTTCTGTGAGTTCCAGGCCAGCCTGGTCTACCAAGCGAGTTCCAGGTCAGGCTCCAAAACAATACAGAGAAACCCCATCTCAAAACAAACAAACAAAACAATAGAAAAAAGAAAGCATCTTCAACAAATGGTGCTAACATAACTGGATGCTGAGGTGTAGAAGACTGCATATAGATCCATGTCTATCACCATGCACAAAACTTAAGTCCAAATGGATCAAAGACCTCAACAAAATCCAACCACACTGAACCTCTTAGAAGAGAAATTGGGAGGTACCCTTGAATGAATTGGCACAGGAGACCACTTCCTGAACATAACACCAATAGCATAGACGCTGAGATCGACAATTAATAAATGGGACCTCCTGAAACTGAGAAGCTTCTGTAAAGCAAAAGACACAGTCAACAAAACTAAATGGCAGCCAACAGAATGGGAAAAGATCTTCACCAACCCCACATAAGACAGAGGGCTGATGCCGGGCGTTGGTGGCACACGCCTTTAATCCCAGCACTCGGGAGGCAGAGGCAGGCGGATCACTGTGAGTTCAAGACCAGCCTGGTCTACCGAGTGAGTTCCAGGACAGCCTCCAAAGCCACAGGGAAACCCTGTCTCGAAAAACCAAAAAAAAAAAAAAAGACAGAGGGCTGATTTCCAAAATATAAAAAGAACTCAAGAAGCTTGTCACCAAACATCAAATAATTCAACTAAAAAGTGGGGTAGAACTAAACAGAGAATTCTCAATAGAGGAATCTAAAATGACTGATAGACACTTGAGAAAGTGCTTAACATCCTTAGCCACCGGGGGAAATGAATATCAAAACAACTCTGAGATATCATCTTATACCTGTCAGAATAGTGAAAATCAAAAACGCTAATGACAGTTTATGCTGGAGAGGATGTGAAGAAAGGGGAACGCTTCTCCATTGCTGGTGGGAATGCAAACTTATACAGCCACTTTAGAAATCAGTATGGAGGTTTCTCAGGAAAATGAGCCAGCAATTTCACTCTTAGGCATATACCCAAAGGTTATTCATATAACAAGGATGTCTGTTCAACTGTGTTCATAGCAGCATTATTTGTAATATCCAGAACCTGGAAGCAACCTAGATGCCCCTCAACTGAAGAATGGATACAGAAAATGTGGTACATTTAGACAATGGAGTACTACTCAGAAGAAAACAACAATGGAATCTTGAAATTTCCAGGCTAATTGGTGGAACTAGAAGAAACCATCATAAGTGAAGTAATTCAGTCACAGAAAGACAAACATAGTATGTACTCACTCATATATGGATTCTAGACATAATGAAAAGGAATACCAGCCTACAACCCACACCTCTAGAGAAGCTAGGAAACAAGGAGGACTATAAGAGAGACATGCATGGTTCCCCGGTGAAGCAGAAAGGGATAAGAGCCCCTGAACAAATGGAGAATATGGGGAGAGGGGGTAGGGAGGGGAGGGAGGTAGAAGAAAGAGGAGGGGAGAAGAGGAGGGGGGAAGAGAACATGAGGGATCAGGGAAATTGAGTGGGGAGAAGAATAGAGGAGTGCAAGAAAAGAGACACATCAGTAGAGGGAGCCACTATAGGTTTAAAGAGAAATCTGGCACTAGGGAATTAATTGTACAGAGATCCAAAAGGATGACCCCAACTAGGACCCTATCTTAAATGCCTGTCCCCTATAATGAAAATGGTGACTACCTTAAATGCCATCCTAGAGCCTTTATCCAGTAGCTGATGGAAGCATAAGCAGAGATCCACAGCCAAGCACTGAGCCAAACTCCTGGAATCCAGTTTCAGAGAGGGAAGAGTGATGAGCAAAGGTGTCAAGACCATGTTGGAAAACCCACAGAAACACTTGACCTGAGGCCTGAGCAAATGGGAGCTCATGGACCCCAGTCTGACAGCTGGGAAGCCAACATAGGACCAAACCAGGCTTCCTGAATGCTGGTGTCAGTTAGGAGCACTGGACAGTCTATGGGGCCTCTGCTTGTGGAACCAGGATGTATCCCTAATGCACAAACAAACTTCAGGAGCCCATTTCCCATGGAGGAATACTCTCTTAACCTAGATACACAAGTTAGGGCCTAGGCCCTGCCCCAAATGCCTTGGGCAGATTTTAATGATCCCTCATGGAAGGCCTCACCCTCCTTGGGGAATGAATGGGGGATGGCATGGGGGTCATAGGGAGGTATGGGAGGATGGGAGAGAGAGGGAACTGGGAATGATATGTAAGATAAGATTGTATCTAATTTAAATAAAATTTATAAATATATATATTTGATACAGTTAATGTAACAGAAAAATAAGAAATTACTCTCAGAAATGAAAAATGAGACATCACAACAGACCTCATAATCATTAAATGAATAAGAGACACTATGAACATTTTAATAAGTCATAAAAAGTAGAAACAAGGAAATTTTTCTTGACATAGTCTTACATCTAATAAACATAATTATACATCATATAAAATCAATGAGTAAAAGTAAAGAAAAATACCATATCTAAACATCTTTACAGCAAATCCCTTGATATTTAAAACCTATATACAAATGTTTACACAAGTTTTATTCAGAATTGTCTAAACTTGGAAGCAGCAAAGACATTCTTCAATAATGGGTGAATGGGTTAACAGGCTGTGATAGTGAATGCAATAAAATACCACTCAGAGATTAAAATAAATAGCTATCAAGAAATCAGAAAACTTACATACTGAACTAATGGTGCGAATTCTTAGGAAAGGCAAAACTGTGGAAACAGTCGTGCCTGGTGGTGGGGGGGAAGAACAGAGAGAGCCCACGGGACTGCTCACAGTGAGGCCTCTCAACACCATGATTCCTCCACACTGGATACACACTGCACATTGCCACAATTCACAAAGGACCCCAGCGTAAAACTGTAAACTTGAGTTACTATCAATGTGTCAATATAGGCTCCTGCATTTTCACAAATGTACCATCTTCAGCATAGTATATTTATAGCAAAGACTGGGGAAAGGAGCATGAGGAAAGACAGAGGGGCCTTATGCTTACTTTGAGCAAACCTAAACTGTTACAAAACATAATAGCTACCAATTTTGAAATCTATTAGAGCTATGGTTTGGAAGGAGGAGTTCTATGACATCACATTCCATTTCTACAGAGCAAGCAATAACTGGAAAGGATCCCTGTGTATTTTTATATGAATTAATGGAAAATGTAGAGAGAAATATCCTAGGCTTTAGGAAACAAAGTAAAAAACAGGTAGGGGATATGTGATATGTAGGAGGATTACCACACATTCATGAAAAACTGAATTGGTATGTGTATGTAGACAAAATTAAAGATACTTTTGAAATTCCTTGTGTGTACATGTCTATTCTCTAATAGTTTCATGCATAAGAAAGTGAGTCTTATTATCACTAAGATAGCTAAAGGGTAATATAAACCATGAAGTACTGTTCCAGAAACCAAACTACAAGAAAATTCATGCTTTGTCAATAAGGAAAATAAAAGGCCACATGGTAGCAGTGCCAAGATGCAGTCAGGGTTCCTAACCTTACCTGCTTATCACTTCTCACCCTCCTACACTCTCATGTCAACAAGTATTTATTAAATTCCCATTTCTTGTAAGTCAGACATTCCTTTCCTGAATCCTGGATTATTTCAACACACCCCTTGCTTGTTTCTTGGCAACCTCAAACATAATATTTTTCCAAAGCCAAAAGGTGTGGTACAAGTCTAGAAATACTAAGAAAGACTGAGATCATCTTGGGATCATGACAAAATCCTTATGAGGTATAAAATGAAATAAGTTTATCAATCTGCTTTGTCTATAAACATGTGTGGGCTCACCTATCAGACACTGCTCCCAATAAAGGGCTCCTAATTGAAAAGGGAGCATGAGAACATTCACCACAATAAAGAAATCACAGTAAGATGTACCAAGAGCTGTAATGGAAATAGTCAAGAAAGGCATGCAATCCTAATTGGCTCTGGATCAAGAGAGGAACCTGTGGGAAAGAGGATTCTCAGGTTGGGTTCTTAGTGGACGATTGCCATAGAGAATGGGAGAAGGAGTAGAGAATGGGAGAAAGAGTACTATCTAACAGTAGCTAAAATGCAAAGACAAGAAAGGCCATGTTTAAGGTTCTAAGCTCTGAATCTCCCACCCTGGAATCAAAAGCCTATACTTTATAAGGTCAGACAAGCTTCTTTCTAACTTGTTGTAATTTTGAGGAAAACCAGATAAGAAAAGCAACAATGGCAGGTGTGTGGGGATGATGTGGAGTCTTTCCAAGACTGTGATAGTAACACAGCTCCATCTCCAGAGTGTGGCCATGACAGTGATGCTAGGAGAGCATCCACACAGATGGCAGGATGCCTAGTCACTCACTCGCACATTCAGTCACTCATTTGTCTTTATTCACAACCTAGAAATAGTGATTGAAGATGTCATGGAACAGGATCTAAAAAGCACTAGACCATGCAGGGCTAAAAATATGCAATAAAATTAGCCTTTTCTTTTCTTTCTTTTTTTCCTGAAGGTGTTTATCAAGACATTGATGCTATTGCTCTCAAATTCTATTGGATACTCGCAGAAGGAGAAGAAGGAGAAGAAGGAGGAGGAGGAGGAGGAAGAGGAGGAGGAGGAGGAAGAGAAGAAGAAGAAGATGATGATGATGATGAAGATGAAGAAGAAGAAGATATTTCTGGAGCATCTACTATGGTCCAGTTCTAGAATCTGGAAGCACAGTAGAGACCAAAAAATGGGGAAACAGGCAAGAGCTACTGCAGGCAATACATCAACAAAGAAACAGCAAAATGGCGAAAATGTTAGGAAGAAAATGAAAGAGGATAACGGGATAGAGTGATCTGAGGAGTGCGGGATAATCAGAGTGGTGGGGAGCCACGTTAAAGTGATCCAGGACAGCCTGGAAAGAAGCTAATAAAGTCACGAAACTGGATGATGCTAAAAAAAGAAGGTTCCAGCAGAAAGCAAAAGCAAATGCTTTGGCTCTTGGATGGGCACGTGAGTGATGCCTGAGGAAAAAAAGCAGAGCGCTGTGACTCTGAAGTGAAGCAGGGAAGAGGAGTGCTGGTCAAACATGATGAGGGCAGGGCAGGGTCCACACGAGATCCACGCGCAAAGGCTCTGCCGTGCTGTGTGCCCTGCTGTCTTATTTTGTGTAAGGGATGTCATTGAAGGGTATAGCTTAGCACGGGTACAGCTTAACCTGTAATGTAAAGGAAGCACACTGACTACTGCGTGGGTGGATAGAAGGATCTAGAAAACACAATGAATTGAAAACGTCAGTGATGAAAACACACATCACTAATGCTGATGTCTGTGGCCAGTCAGGGATCAACATCTGATGGTGCATCATAACACACTTTTCAATGCAGACTAAACAGTACTCTGAGCTGAGTTTTATGCTTCATGCATTAGTTTTTAACATCCATCACTGTTGTCCACCAGTGTGCAGCTCTGGCTACTTGTTGGGAATAACCTACACCATTAGGAAATTCCGATAGCAAGTTAATCCCAGAAACTTGAGTTGATTGGTGGCAAGAATAAAGCTGGACCTTGGACTTTTACATTTTCATCAAGTAAATTTGTTTGGAGGATTAGGGTTAGGCACACCAGCACAGTAACAAGGAGTAGAAGTGACACAGGTGTCTGACTTGCATAGAGTTGATGATTTTAGCAGGACATGGAGTCTTCATAGGCAGGAAATAGAGCCCATGAGGTGGCTCCAAGGTAAACATGATGACTGAGTGACACCATCCTGAAATGGCAGATAGAGGAGGGAGTGCTGGCTTGGCCAGATTCCAGCAGGGTTGGTCGGTGAGATAAGGCCACTCAACATTATTTATCCCAGGGAAAAAAGTCAAGAGAAGAAATCACTGCGTTTGTATTCTGTTTTCAGTAAAAAGCATCTCCAGAGGTTTTCAGTCCTTCCAACCCACTTTAAAACTGTCTATACTTGACAGCTCTTAACAATTGTAAAAGAGCCACAATGCTCAGCTAAAGTGACTGGTGACCATGGAGAGGATGCTTGACTGGATGATAACCTTTCCAAATGCCTGGGAACTCTATGTTCTGCAGGTGACTCTGAGGAGCTGAATGTTCTCAGTAGGACCTTTATGACTACAGGTGAGGCTTCATTCAAGACTGGCTTGAATAAAGTTGGGATGTAGTCTGGGGCCTTGTCCAGACTCTCCTTTGGAAGACAGGGATGCTAACATCTTAAAAACAAGTACTTACTGAAGGCCATACCATACATAGGCTAAGAAGAGGGTGACACAGACTAGAATGCTGTGTGCATAAGTTACACACATAAAGGTACTTTAAAGTTATATAAATTCCCATGGTAAATTTTACTAAACTACATAATCAGTATTCCCAATGTATTAATTATGCCTTTTAGTACTTGAAATCATTAAAATGCATTCCTCTGAAGATACTTGGCAGATTTGTCATTTATAAAAGAGAACATATATTTAGATTGAATGGTTTTTTCTGTCAGTGGTGTCACTAGGAAATCGTCCTTAAATAGGCATATACTTGAAGTCAGTTAGAAAACAATGCATTCATTTTAAGAGGTCACGTAAGAAAGAATATTCTTTACCTTCACATAGTTGTACTCTAAGAGAACAAACCGTCGATCTGGTGACACTGAATAATCGCTTACAGAATCTCCAACTTCTTCCTGTTGGTTAAGTAGAAGAAAGAAAGCTGAATGATTCGAATGCCCTCACTGGTCATTAACTAGGCAGAGGGAGCCCTACATGTATGAATTATGCTTTGGAAATGTCCAGTCATGAAGAGATAGCACCCACACAGATGACAGTAATGTTAAGTGTGCAATGACAGTTAGAAAGCCAGAGAGGGAAGGATTAGCTGAAGAGGTACAGTTCAGGGACACAGAGAGAACTCTGCAAACAGCAGGGCCAACGTGAACAGCACGGGAAAGAATGTGCATGTTTAGAGTATGTTTGAGGGTTGCAAGTAACCATGATATGGCATGGCTGTGCCAACATGGTAGAAGATGGGAGGACATTAATTCATAAAAATATAGGTCATGAATGATAAACTAAGGGATTTTTAGTATGTGAAGGTGATGGTACCATATCTACTTTGTTTATTTTTCACAGGATACTCTGGTGATATGTGAATGAGAAGGGGTGTATCAGTTTGGTCTCCAGAATAATGACAGAGACACAGTGGGAATGGAAGTCTGTGAGGTAGTTGACATGCAGCAGTGTGAATCAACAGTGCTGCAAAGCTAATTATAGGGGATGGTGGGAGAGTTGAAGATTATGAAGTTTCCAGAGTAAGTGGCTTGGAGATCTGAGGGATAATTTCCAAGAATGGGAATTGAACAAGAAGGATATGATTACTTGAGACACTAGGACACTAAAGGGGAGAAAAATGAGTTCAGCATGGGATTCTGAATTTAATATGCCCTTAGGAGCTGTATAGGGCCTAGCAGGTTCTTAGAAAGTGAAGCTTGCATCTTGAGAGGTTAGTGCTAATGTATGCAGGAGAATCAAGCCATGGAGGACAAACACCAGGGTCATGGAAGCACATGCTGTTCCCCCAAAGGAACACCCAGAGTGAGGAAAGGGGTCAATGGGTGAAGACAAAGCCTGGGGAACACTTACATTCAAACACACAGGTAGAAGAGGAATCATCAAAGGAGATTAAAAAATAGCCAAGGCGGGAGCATTTCAAGAGGGAGAGAAAGATCCACTGGCCATGTGCTGCAGAGTCCAACAGGGTGAGAAATGAGTCCTCGTGATTTGAAAAGAAATGAAACAGTCCCCAGAATTCCATACATGAACCAAGTGTGTGACTAAACATACAAAGGTACTGTTCTCCAAGAAAATGGAGCTGTTTCCGTGTTCAGCATTGAATAGCAAGATATTGTTTTCTTGTTTGTAGAGGTATTCATAATCTAAAGAGAAAAAATGGCTAGATCAGTATTGTGAGTTGCTGTTAAACGCTTCCATAAGCTAAATTTTCAAAAATTAGGCTCACACAGGGAGTGTAAACATTCTGGGCAAACTTAAGCAAAAGACATTGTACTAACACCTGTCCAGGTGTCCATCATTCATGCCAAGCTCGCAGTTCACATTACACTCTTTACAGCAGATAGCAAAGAGACACTTCCATTTCCTCCTGTCTGCCCCTTTGCACTTCATTTTCCTATCTTTCCTTCTTTTCTCTTCTTTTTCCTTTCCTTTGCTTTTTCTTTCTTCCTTTCTTTTTCTCCTTTTTAAAAAATTTTTTTTGGTTTTTCTACATAGCCCTGGCTGTCCTGGAACTCACAGAGATCCACCTGCATGCTGGACTTAAAGGCAAGTGCCACCACTGTCCAACTATCCTTTCATTTCTAAGGCGGAGCAAACACTCTGCAGAGTTTTACAAGCAAGAATTGCATATTCTTACTACCCTAAGCACTCAGCAAACCAAGTTCACTGGAATGGATACAAATATAACATTTCCAATGCATGAGCCTTACCTGACAGCCACCTCAAGGAGTAGGACTTGACTCTAAAAGTATTCTTTAAATAATCAGCTAACAAATAAGTTCTGCGGCTATCAGCTGCCGCATCATCTGTAGAGAGGAAAATAGTCAGTAAGATGCAATCGCTAAGTTTGGAATAAAATAATACTCCTAATCACAAAATGTTAAAATGAGTTCACAGAATAAAAAACGTATCTTGAAAGATTTCAGATTAGGTAAGTGGAATAAGAATTCCTCTAAGTATATGGTGAGTGTGTTCACTGCTATGTAAGCGACCAGCAACATCAACAGAAATGTAACAAGTGTATTTCCCAGCAGCCAAAGTTAAAGACAAAGATAATTTAATTATAATGGCATATTGTATTTAGCACAACATGTAAAAATATTATCATTTCAGCCTTAACCAGTATTTAAATGTTATTAATTAGACTTCCCATAATCCTTTTTGTACTCGTTCTTTAAAATATGGTACCTAAATTTGACTTAGAGCACGTTTCATTTTAACTGTGTTCATTTCAAATCGATAGGTATATAAGGCCAGCAACTACTGTAGGGGATGACACAGGGCCTGAGCACCCTCTGCTGTGGCCTTTAGGACATTTCTAAGTCCTTTTGTTCTTCAGAGACCTTTGATATGTGTTGATCACTCCCCTGGGAGATCTTGTTTCTATCACTACTCTTCCTTAAACTTGGTAGGGTCTGTGGGGTTCTATATTCTGCTGGTAGGAACCCAAATTCAAAGTCTGATATCATTTTAAAAAGTTGATTTTTTTCTGGCATACAAATGGACTTTGGGTGCCCATTCCACAATGAGGGATGCTCTCTCAACCTGGACTCTTAGGGGAGGGCCTAGGTCCTGCCCTGAATGAAATGACAGACTCTGGAGATCCCCCATGTAGGGCCTCACCCTCCCTGGGGAACAGAGTGGGGATTGGGTGGGGAGCTGGGGAGGGGGCGGGGTGGAGGGGAGGGAGAGGGAGCTGGGATTGACATGTGAAGCAAGCTTGTTTCTAATTTAAATAAAAAAGTTGGGGTATTTGTTTTGCTGTTGTTTTAATGTGTGTGTGTGTGTGTGTGTTTGCTTGAGGAAAAATACACATATGCCATGCCATGAGTGAAAGTGAGAGTATGCCTTGCAGAATTGGTCCCCTCCTTCTTCACCTTCCTCCATACTGGATCTGTAGCAAGCACCTTTACCCATCAGACCATCTTGCCAGTCCCTGAAATAATTTTTTATTGTCTCTTTATTTCCTTCCACCTCCATGTAAATAACCTTGTTGAATTTCCTGAGAAATGTTTCTTAGGTGTCATGACTTCAAGTCCACCATTGCTATCCCCCTCCATACCACCAACAGAATGCCTTTTGGCCTGGTGACCTTGTCCTCAAAATCTCCCAGGATTTCTCTCTTGCCTCCAGGAGCATCCAAAGGTCTTTGCTTGGCATTAATAGCCTTCCACTGTCAGACACCGCACTCTCTCCAGCTCATGTGCACTGCCTGCAGATGCTGTCTCGTCCAGTCATGTGATCTGCCGCTGAACACGGGTACCCTCCCTGGCTTCCCACCTCTGCTCCCCATCCTCAGCCATTTCCCTATGAAGGCTGGGTCTGCTTTTGTCCTGTGTCTCTCAGCTCTTTCATGGGGACTTCCATTCTGTCCCCTCTAACTTGCTTCTCACATTCTTTTAGCTTTTAACACTTAGTGACTTATGTTGAGAGCTATTTTTAATTAAGTATATTCATATATATAATGCATTCTGGTTGCTGTCACCCATCCACCTTGTCAATGCCTACTCTTCCGTGTCCACATCTTCTGTTTGGTGACCCACTGAGTTTAACTAGGGCCATCTAAGTGAGCATGAATATGAAATTATCCACTGAAGCCTGGTGAGCAAACCAGTGGATGCCCATCTCAGGATAATGATGCCCCTCTCCCAGAATCCATCAGTAGCCAGGATGGGTAAGACTGCATTAGTTCTTTTCTCATCCATAATTACTAATGTCAGTCCCAATCTTGTGAGTTCAAGCTTGAAATGGCTGTGCCATAGCACTGTACAGCCTTCCCATCTCTGTATATTCTGAATCTTTCAGTAGTGTTTCCTGGGCCTTCAAGGGTGTGGCATCAATATCATGTTTAAGGCTGAGCACTCAACTATTCCCTATTCTTAGTATTTTGAGCAGACAGGAATTCCTGCATTCCCCCACCATGACCCTCTCCAAGGGAGAAATTCATGTCTCATACTGTAAACCTGGTAACAAAACACATAGCTGAGAAAGTCACAGACTCCACTGGGTAACATATCGTTGTTGTTTAGTTACACTGACATGATGGAAAACTGCCTTCTAAACATCTATTTTTATACCCATAGACCACTGCCATTCTCTGCCTTAATGACAGAAGCTTCTCTGGACCATGAACTGTGGCAGTGAGAAACATTTTTTTCTGTGCTCACTGCAGTTTACTCAGTCAGACCACATGCTTTTTTAAAAGCAGTATTTCGGGGTGTGGGGGGTAAAGTTTTGCTTCATCTTGGTCTTGCTTCAACACCCACCCACACACGTTTTATCACTTGATGTAAGATTTCATAACACAACATTACACATAAAAGTGACTGCTTCTCCGATCCCAGAGACTGATAACCAAGAACTTAATATCTTTCTCTGTGTCCTTAACTTTTTCATGTACATGGAAACCTCTACCCCACAGCATCTGCCATGCCATAGGCATTCCAGTAAGAGCTGCACTCGCAGCCCTTGGGAAAAGTCACTCTCTTACAGAAACTGTTCTAACAAACGAAGTTCTTAACAGTTGTTCCTTTTGACCTGTCCCAACAACATTTAGTATTTGTGCATAAAGCCTTCTGCTTCCATAGAAAAACTTGATACTTTTCCTTATTACATCACTGATGTTATTTAAACTGAATGTTTTAGATAGGCAAAAGAGACTTACAATGCCCATTTGTTTTCTGGTTCAACCCTGTGTATATTTTTCCCTGAAGGTTGTGAAGATGTTTGTGTCTATGAACAGAATGACAGCAAATGGGCAAAACCTGTTAAGCATTTTGTAGAAGACTGCAGATAGATCCATGTCTATCGCCATGCACAAAACTTAAGTCCAAATGGATCAAAGACCTCAACATAAATCCAACCACACTGAACCTCTTAGAAGAGAAAGTGAGAGGTGTCCTTGAATGACTTGGTACAGGAGACCATTTCCTAAACATAACACCAGTAGCACAAACACTGAGATCTACAATTAATAAATGGGACCTCCTGAAACTGAGAAGCTTCTGTAAGGCAAAGGACACAGTCAACAAGACAAAAAGGCAGCCCACAGATTTCGAAAAGATACTCACTATCCCTACATCTGGCAGAGGGTTGATCTCCAAAACTTACTAAGAACTCAAGAAGCAAGTTTCCAAAACACCAAAGGATCCAGTTAAAAAGTGGGGGGACTGAACTAAATAGAGAATTCTCAATAGAGGAGTCTAAAATGGCTGAGAGAGACTTAAGAAAGTGTTCAACATCCTTAGCCATTAGGGAAACAACTCTGAGATATCATCTTACTGCTGTCAGAATGGCTAAAATCAAAAACACCAATAACAGCTTATGCTGGAGAGGATGTGGAGAAAGGGGAACACTCCTCCACTCCTGGTGGGAATGCCAACTTGTACAGACACTTTAGAAATCAATATGGAGATTCCTCAGGAAAATGGGACTCAGTCTACCACAAGACCCAGCAATTCTACTCTTAGGCATATACCCAAAAGATGCCCATCCATACAACAAGGACGTCTGTTCCAATATGTAATGGCCAGATCCTGGAAGCAACCTAGACACCCCTCAACTAAAAAAGTGGATAGAGTAAATGTGGTACATTTACACAATGGAGTACTACTCAGTGGAAAAAAAACAATGGAATCTTGAAATTTGCAGGCAAATGAATAGCACTAGAAGAAACCATCCTTAGTGAGGTAACCCAGTCACAAAAAGACAAACATGGTATGTACTCACTCATATATGGATTTTAGACGTGGATCAGGGGAGTGTCAGCCTACAATCCCATTGCCAGTGAGTCTGGGAAACAGGGAGATACAAATGATAACCCAGAGAAGTGAAATGAGGCAAGATCTCCTGAGCAGAATGGGAACAGGGAGGGGGGGGGGAGAGGGAACTGGGGGAAAAAAGAGGGAGAGAAGAGGAGGGCAGAGGAAGACATGGGGGAACAGGAAGGTTGAGTCAGGGTAAGAATAGAGTAGAGCAGAATGAGAGATACCTTAATAGATGGAGTCATTATAGGTTTGAGGAGATTTCTGACACTAGTAAGATTTCCAGAGATCCACAAGGATAACACCAACTGGCAAACTAAGCAATATCAGAGAGACTACCTTAATAGCCCCTCCCTGATGATAAGATTGATGACTACCTTATATGCCATCCTATAACCTTCATCCAGTGACTGATGGAAGCAGAGACAGATACCCACAGCTAAACACTGAACTGAATTCCTGGAACCCAGTGATAGTGATGGAGGAGTGATGAGCAAAGGGGTCAATACTGTGCTGGTGAAACCCACAAAGACAGCTGACTGGACAAGGAGAAGCTCTTGAACCCCAGACTGATGGCTGAGACACCAGAAGGGGACTGATCCAGACTCCATGAATGTAGTTTCAATGAGGAGGCCTCAGCAATCTCTGGGGCCTTGGGTAGTAGAATAGTGTTCACCATGGCATACAAATGAACTTTGTGGGAGCCCATTCCACATAGAGGGATGCTCTCTCAGCCTGCACACATGGGGAAGGGCCTAGGTCCTGCCCTGGATGAAATGACAGACTGTACAGATCCCCCCATGGCCTCACCCTCCCTGGGGAATGATGTGGGGATTGGGTGGGGGGCTGGGGATGCTGGTGGAGGGACAAGGGAGGAGGGTGGGAGAGGGATCTGGGATTGACATGTGAAGCAAGCATGTTTCTAATTTAAATAAAAAACATATATAAAAATTAAGTATTGTGCTACTGAAAATATCACAACTAGATTTGTTCACCAATGCTCTCAAATTTTGTGCCCATTCAGCTACTCTTTCCTACCTCAA